ACTGCACACTGTGTGAAGCAGATATCCGGCAGGGAGCTATCACACCGGGGGATGTTCGGTGGTGTGGCACCCCCGTCGTCCACAGTCGAGTTCGAGGCGAAGAGTTTGACCAGAAGGTCAGCCTTCTCTTTCGCGCTGTGGGCCAGACTGTCATCGGACTTGCGCAGTGGTGGGAGACTAGACCTGCAAAAGTTTCCTTCTGCAGCTTTGGCGAGCGACCAAAAAGCACGGCTCCCGGAGGGATAGCTCTTCAATCGCTCGCCAACTCTAGCAACGTGCTCCGACTTCGCCTTGGCAATTACCTTCTTGTAGGACCTGGAAGCGGCGTTATATTTCCGCCTTTCCCCTGAGATGTTAGGATCCCGACGTCTCCTGGCATTATCCCATGCCACGTATGCGGACCGCTTGAGGTGTGCAGCATCCCTACTGGCATTGTTATACCAGGGTCTGCTGCGACCCCCAACGGGCACTTCAGAGGAGGGAATAAACAATTCCATTCCCCGGAGCACCACGTCTTTAAGACGGTCCGCACAGACGTCAGGATCAGCAGAGGAAAAGCAGAACCGCCCCCATGGGTAGGATGCGTAAAATTCACGCAATCAATAAACAAACAAAACAACAAAAAACATAGTATAGTAACTGTGGATTAATTGGTAAGAAAAAGTCATGAAGTCAAATGTGCATAAGCAATAAGATGATAACGTGCATTTTCAATGCAAAAGTTCAAAATGGGTCATTTGACCCGTTATGGTGTGTTTAGTGTTAATTCAAGTCATCCACAAAACACACGTATCGTTGTTGTGTGAATTATAACCATCAATACAGTTCAATGATGAGAATATCTATGAAACTTCAGAGGAAAATAAGTTTTATTTAATTTGTGTTAAAAATGATTGCCGTTAAATTTCTATTCATATTTTTTTTAATAAATATTATATATTGCACATTATATCTTACATTCATTACCATTTGGATTTATTTTGTATCAAATTTAGTTTTTAAGGTCACACTGTGTATATTGTAGCATTTATAATTTAGTTGTATTATTATGTATATTGTGACTATAATATTATTATTACTATTATTACTGGAATTGTTTTTCAGACGACTCTTTATAAAAATTAAACTATTATTCTCGTCGAAAGATTGTGAATCAAATTAAATTTTTTTTTCAATGTTGATTATAAAACAAAAGCTTTTGTATTATCTAAAATATTTTCTTATTTTGTTATAAGCCCACCGAGATTGTACTCTCAGTAACAAATAAATTAAAATATAAACCAATATTGCTGGTGGGTGTGTGTGTTTGTTTATCCATTACGACATACTTACAAAAGCCTCAGACTGAAATAATTCTTGATAAATATATTTACATATAATAGAATACGAATATTAATAAAAAAACGATAGTTGCATGAGTTTTTCATACACATCTTAGGATTTATAAATATGGTTCTTGGTCGATTGTCCTAACGTGAGATGATAAGCTACAGATAAATTACGAGAAACCTTCATGCTGTGAAACATCATCTGTGAAAATAACTTTTTTCTAAATAAATAATAGTCCTAATGTTTTCATTGGAATGTGAGTATGCTTCGCCTACAGTGCCATCGGCACTCCGAACCTCACATCTCATGTCTCAAAGTCGGTCCAGTGACCACTCCATAGGTGGGCCGCGAGCCGGTTCACACGCATATATGTATTTTAAAAAAACCTCTTCAATGAATCCTCACATCCATCCTTACAACTAATGCTAGTTTCGTTATAGTTTACTCGCAAATTCTCACTTAAAAATCATCAGAAAACTAGTTATTAAGAATCTTATTAATAAATGTTTGTATGCATCTAATAAACGAAGATAAAATTTCAAACATTATCCTAACATTGCCTACATGAAACGTCTCTTAGCGGCTCCATTCCTGTATTACAGTGTGCTTAGTGCGAGTTTCTAAACGTTCTCGATAGCGTAAAAGTTAACCCAATTTTGTATGCAGTTGGAACAGCGCCCCTAGCGGGAAACGTACGAAAACGATCCCATTCCATACAAATATGAACTAACTTTTACGCTATCGAGAACGTTAAGAAACTCGCACTAAGCACACAGATTAATTCGGATTTCATATATAACAGAATACAGGGGTCCAAAATTTCTTACAATAAATATTGTTTTTAAATGCTATAATTGCCAAATGCATATGATAGTATTAATAATACTTTGATATGTTATATAAATAATAATATGCAAATATTTTATAAAACTCACAGCTATGTGACCGTAATTGATTTATTTCCCATGATTCAGAATGGTTAACATAATTTGAAGGTCTCTTGTATTCTTGTTGGTAAAGTTAGTTAATCATCCGAAATCGAACAAATCGCTTTGTTGACTTAAAGGCTACGTTCCTTATAGTACTAAAACAAATATTAACAGAATGCGAACATATTCTTCTAGTACTGTAGCATGGTGGAAAACTGAATATATGCATTCTTTATAATGAATATCATTGTTATTCACATTTATTACTATTGATATCTATTATTTATATATATCAGAATCTTATCAATTATTAGATTTTTTTAAATAAGACTAGTTTTAAATTACAGAAAATATATGGTCGCTGATGATCCAAGCCACCAGCTCTCAGGGCTCCAGAGGAACTCAATACTACAATACAAATAGTAAAGCCCGCGAATACACTAAGATGTATTTTAGACTTCGACCTCACGTCTCCATGCGTGAGGTCGCACGGTGATGTCACCACCGTGAGGGCCAATTGACATAAGTTGGCCGTGAGCTCACTCGCAACGCTACGCAATAATTAATTTTAATTTTTCCTGCCTATTCGCTGGTAGCCTGAGAGGCTATTCCAGTTACGCACGGGTTCACAGTTCTGAGCACACTACAATAGCAAACAAACATTGGTGTGTAAGTTGTAACAAGAAAGATCTTTCCATACCAGATTCTGCTGATGTTATTAATGTTTTGAAAGAATATTCGAAAAAAAAGTTTTTTTTTTAAGTTAAAATTATTTAAATTAATCATTTCAATACTTCCCTATAATTGTAATAAAATTCATAAAGGATGGAATTGCATTCGTATATTCACACATTGAAATGCAATCTTGACATTCTATCATACGTTTGAATACCAACTGACATACTAGATTTATTCTGGTATTGTTCTGAGACTAACATTTAAAACATGTTCCAATAGACGAGACTAGGTTACTATCTAGTCCATACTAGGTTTAGGTGTAGATATCGTTTTATAAGATGTAGTTAGCATATTTCAATTCTGATTTGTATTTCAAAGAAATGGCTTGTTAAGACGGATTGGACTGCGAAACAATTATTTGTAATTAATATTTGTTTCCAAAGGTATTTGTTTTATGAAAGTACTCATACAGGTAATACTTAAAGTTTGTTTACTACCTGATAAAATTTTTTGCAAATTTCATATTTAAGAAAAAAAGGTAAATCTGACTGCAATATTTTCAATATTTTTGTAAGTATCAATCCGAATGTGCGAGTCTCGAACAACTTCTTTATTAACATTGGTGTATAGTGTATACTGAATGATTCGAAACCATCACTGATAACTGTTATGTAAAGGATAAATAAATACTTTTGCGAAATGAATATGGATTGTTTATTTTGTACTAAACATAGACACCGCATTGTAATAAATTCACATAATTAATCCTTCAGCGAGATCAGATTGAGGTATTTCTCAGACTATAGAATTATCTTTTAATGGCTTTGATGAGATTTTATAGATTACTACTGTAATTAAATCCAACCCTGTACAACCCTTGGTCAATTCAATTGAGGCTGCTTTTTTTAGAACTCTTTGTACAATGGAAATTTATAAAAAAATACTATTTACAATATCTATCAGCTTTCATTTTACTTCTCCTGTCAAGCAGTGTCTCGTGGAGATTACCCTCAATTTTGGCACGTTTCAACTCTGTAACACTACCATCATTCAACCGTAATTTCTTGTCTTGAAACTTCTGGAATTTTTTCCTGTGAAATACAATCATCTGTATTTTAAAATTTAAAGTCCCATTTAATCTGCTAGAGCACTAGAATTATTTAAGGCAGTTTCTCAATTGAACATTTTTTTCAGTTCTGAACTAATTTGAATGTAATTAATGGTATGGACATATAAAATTAAATATTACTCACACATAATTAACTTCAACTTCATTTAAGTTGCCCTCTTCTTCTGCAGGTAACACTGCTTTATTTACTTCCTTGGCTTTATTACTCCGTATTATACAGTACTCATTCTCACCGGCACTGACACTCTTAGCTATAACACTGTCATCATCAGGCGTTACAGACATGAATTTGTTTAAGGAGCTCAGTATTGCAGTTTTACCTGTAAATGTTATTGTATTCTAAAGTCAAGAAAATAAATGTTCATATAATTCCTTGTTCCTGTCCTATACATTCATGCATTGCCTATCGGATTCCTTTGAGACAGTTAGTTGTTTCTTCTTTAAGGAAGATATCTGCATGACTAATTTTAAGAATTGTTTATACTAAAGTACCAAAAGCTTCGAATAGTGTTTTATAAAAAAAAATATATTATTGAAGTGAAACTTCCTTATCGGCGTTGGAAAAAAATTTACCGTCACGTTTTTCGGTTACGCGTCACATTTTTCCGTTACGCGCCATCTGTTTTGTATTCATGTCTATGATAATAAAATCCTTTTGTTTAAACTTTATCTAATTTAACTTTTTTGTATTCATGTCTATGATAATAAAATCCTTTTGTTTAAACTTTATCTAATTTAACTTTTTTGTATTCATGTCTATGATAATAAAATCCTTTTGTTTAAACTTTATCTAATTTAACTTTATTTAACCAATTTCTAGAAAGTTGCATGTAGATCATTTTTCGAAAAATAAGGCCATAAATAAGTTTCACTTCTTACGTGTGTACACTAGTACACGCACACATTTTTATTCTATTATATTTTTCTACTCTCTCTTAACTACAATGCAGCCAAACAACACTACATAAATGTTAATAGTCTTATTAATTACCTAGTCTGAGGTTTAATTTCAATTAGAGTACTAAACAAAACAATAAGTATATCAATTTTTACCAACCATCTTGCCAAACAGGCTCCCACTGTTCCATTGGCCCTACTGCATCAGATCTGCCCACCACCACTCCATCCTTTGAAACCCCCAAGTATTTTCCATACCCTGATTTCAAAGCAAATTTGTTTTCTCCTGCAGGGAAAGCTGTGAAGATTTCTTCTGGGGAAGGCCCTTCACCATCACCATGAGGACTTCCAATTGTAAATAACCCATTATCCAATGCTGATACGTAGCAATTATTCCCAAATTCTATTGATACAGATCCTGTTATGTCTTCGACTTTATCGATCCGCCACCACCCTCCATGTTTTAGTAAATCCTCATCAACTTTGGAGTCATCCGATTTATCCTTCTTCTTGTGCTTGCGTTTTTTTGCTCTTTAAGGTTAAAGCAATAATAGGGCATTGTAATTGAGCTGCATCAATTATTGGTGCCATTGGTATTAAAAAACTCGAATTTTCTAATACTCTACTGAATAAGTTATTTTTCATAATTTAAAAAAATCAATATTAAACATAATAAATTAGGTTTTTGAAATTTTACGATGTATCTAATAAAAAATAAAACGGACAGAAAGAACATTTGTCGTTCTCATGTTCACTTACTTGGGTTTGTCTCCTTTAAGAACTAACTTTCCACGTTTCACAGCAGCATATTCATCAGTCATGTTTTTATCTTGTAAATTAAATCACAGATGTATTTTACCGTATTTATATATGTAACTAAATAACTCGTTTATTAATTTTTTTTAAGGGATTTTACGACCTGGTAACTAAGACCTTTGGGTCAAGTCTTCATAGATTATACACTTAATATATTTGAGACAAGTCTTATTTTAATTTTAATGATCACGTAACTTTTTTATATGAAAATGATATTATGAAATGAAATGAAGTTGATTATTATGAAATATGGCATGAAGTGAAATGAAAACGAAATGAAATGACATGAGATGAGATGATAAAGGATGAAGTATAATCGGCTTAGTGAATTTGGCCCCCCTTTTTTTTGTTTTCGGTTTTTTTTTTTTATTATTTGTTCGTCGTTTGTTCGTTAATGATCGAAGGTTCGCCTTTTATTTATTTATAATTAATTAAACAAATGATCACCGCTAAGTGGGCCCCCTTTACTAGTTATCTTTATTTTTATCGCTCAGATTAATTAATTTTGATCAATTATCGTTTGTTCGACGACTATTAGTGATTGTTCGATCATAACAACAATTAAATTTCCAATATTTAATTATTTTATATCTGATAAGCAAACCATCACCTCACGCCTACATTGCGCATGCGCCAGTTTTGTCAGTCAGCTGGCAATGGCCGCATTTACTAGCCGTTTGATAACAAGTGCGTTTATACTGTCTAATTCTTTCTTACGTAGATCAAAAAAATATTGAAAACTTCAACAAACTTCAACTTGATACGAGATCTGTGAAAGTGCACAAATGTGGAAAAATGAAACAAAGCCGCTGGACGTAGCTTCCCGGGATCCTCCAAAACGTCCACTGAAAAAATCTCAGTAAATGACCACCATTTTACTGAGATTATATTTCATCCCGTATCATCTCATCTTTTTTTTTTTTTATTACCCTTGTAGGCAGACCATAGACCTATATAGTAGGGACACGACATATTGTTCTATACGTACAATTGCTTATATAAATAGCACCCATTTTTAAGGCACTCCTGCGTAATATACGCTCTGAGTTAACATTTCTGGTTTTATTGACTTACGAAGACCGCCCGCTTACCATGTCGCTAGCCGAAAGTAGAAATACTCCAACATTATATATATTTAAATTCATTATGAGCCCTCATCCGAAAAATCGGACACCATTTTTCGGTCGGAATCTATTGATCATGACACTAGTCATAAATACCTCTTTAAAATATGTCATCAAAACATATTTAAACATTCTGTTTAGATATTTCGGGAAAAAAGCTACCGACAAAATCTCTTCGGAACTATTTAAATAAAATAGTTTTATTCCGCAGTGAGTAAAACACTGTTGTAAATTCGTTAAATATTTAATAATTAAGTGATTTTAGAGAGGAAGTCACAAGGAATGACGTTTGTAATTAATGAATGTCCCTTGATAAGTTTAAAATTTGAATCACTCTCAAGTGAAAGTGATTCAAATGGTGCGGCGCACCTTCCTTGAGGTGCGCTGCGGTAGTGTGTTACGGACTTTAGAGTCAGCAAAACAATTAAATTAGATTGTAATAGTCTAAGAAAAACACGTACTCAAAATACGATAACATTTAGCATGCTAGAAATGGGCAGATGGCACTGTATTACGCCCTAACTTTATGTTTTGCGACAAACGACAACTTTATAAAATCAGTGTAGCAACTTTATTAAAAATCACCATATCGTTTATTTGGCAAATTCGAAGGACGAACTTGTCTTAGATTTCACACATCTAAATCATATCATATTTGCACATAACAATATACCTACTTACTTCCCATTAAAGTATAAATTCTACAAATAAAATTAAATAATACTCAACAATATTTAAAATAAAATGAGCCAAGAACGTTTATCGATAAAAGCTGATAACATTGAAATCTTTTGTACAGCACTAAAACCGCCACGTTTTGTGGTCAGATGACGTCACAGTGGCACGAATTTTTTGTTGACGTTTCATTTCCATAGGTTTCCTACTTCAGTGAGGCAGACGAGCATACGGCCCACCTGATGGTGAGTGGTTACCGTCGCCCATGGACTTCAGCAATGCCAGGGGCAGAGCCAAGCCGCTGCCTAAATTTTGCCTAATTTAACTTAATCATCCCAGTTGATTAATGTCTCAAATTAATCATTTTCATTTCATTTCATTTCATTCCATATTATCATATTTCATAAAAATAAGAATATAAATTAAAATAAGACAAGAGCTAAAAGTCTTAGTTACCAGGTCATAAAATCCCTTAAAAAAACCTTTTTTGTTTGAGTTGATCGCATCGGCAAATGGAACGTATCCCATCATTCAAACTTTTCTAAGATAAAACTATGTCTGCTGTACGAAATATTGTTGATTTTTGTAGCGGAATGAAATTGAACGAAAACAATAAACAATATCGTTGAAACAGATTAAATTAAATAAAAATGTGAGCCGTCACGTTACACCTGGCAGATGTGAAACATCGACATTATTTTGTAAAAGTAATATGCAGAAAAGAACAGATTGTGATAGGAACTAAATATGTCAAAATGAGAAAATAAAATTTTTACGAAAAAATAATTTGTTTTCAAGTAAAACACAGGTTATATATGAGTCGTCTATTATCAAAGGTGGCAATCTGTACATTTGGACAAAAAAATGTTATTGATATGTCAATACAGATTGATTTGAATATAATCGTCTCCTTCAAAGAATACGGTTCAAAACCTGCATTAAATAAAGGTTAATAGTTAACCTATTATTTATCTAAGATGTCGTTCCGAAGAGTTTTGTGACTGCCAATGGAATACAAAGTCATTAATTCGTTTTTCTGATTTACCAATAATTGTCCAAAAGTCAGATTGCCGGCTTTGATAATAATAGACTCATATACTGTAGTAAGCAACTGTACACACTACGGAGTATAAACTATAGGTATCCGAGCTCAGTGTAGCGAGAGAGATGGCTTAACGCCGGATCGAATGGGAGAGAATCGCACAGTCGATTGCGCATGGCGACGCGTCGCCACGGCATGCGTCGCCACGCCAGAAATCGGTTTTACGTGCGGCTATAGATGTTTCACATCAATAACGTTTTAGGGGTTATTTTAGGTTTTCCGATAGATCTTTAGAATAATACTCCAAATATTAAGTCCATTAGTAATCTATTGCAACTGTTCTTTAATTTGGCAATGACTGAAAGATCTCGCTACCGGGCCCTAAAATCTAAAAAAAGAATGTATTTAGCAGGCCCTGCGTGTATCTCTAGCGCGCTGCCAAGGAGAAAAATCTTCGGGATTAAAAGGAGTAATAGATGGATTAACCATTTCTACACACACCATGGATGCCATTATGCGTATAAAATTAGAATACCGACATAGATGGAACTCGATACGAGTATACACATACTGCATAGATGCACAGGCACTTATTATGCACTGGGCGACTGACAATAAGTGACATTGGTAGCAACAATTTATTCAATGCTTGCGTAAAGCTATGGCGTAAAGCAATTTATAGTTAAGTAACTTAAGTACATATTTCCATGGAGTTAATAAGTACCTAGTATAACATTATAAATACTAACTCTATGTATTTAATTTCAATTTCCCTTCCAATGCTATAGAGTTAGGTAAATTTCTAAGAAAATTAAGGGGTTGCCGGGGCTATTTTAGCTCCTTGACCCTGATGGCCTCTGGAGGAATCCAAGTTAATCCAACGCTACATTAGGTGGCATCGTAGCAGTTTTGATAGTTTATAGAAATATCAAGCTCATTTATTTATTTGTAAACAGTGTAATCAAAAGTAATCAATTACATAGATACGTTTAATTTTTATATACCTTGTGTCAGAAACTTTTAAATTAAGCTCATCAGGCAACACTACCACCAACGCCATTTTGTAATTTTGAGCATGTTGACTCGCTACGAAAATGACTTTAATTTTATGTTTAACTAATTATCGTGATGTGAACCGTAGTTATTGTTATTAATAAGAAAGTATAGTAAAAAAATGGACATGGCGGAAGTGAAAGCGTTCAACGCGGAGGTATATAACAAGTAAATTCCGTTGTCTTGTAAATGTTCCGTGGCATCGTTTTCATCTTTATTTTTGTTGCAGTTATCCGGGTTGTACGACAACAAGCCGCCTATATCGAAGGCGAAGATGAGTGCTATCACTAAAGGTGCTATAAAGGCCATAAAGTTTTATAAACACGTCGTGCACAGTGTTGAAAAGTTTATACAGAAATGCAAACCTGAGTACAAAGTTCCTGGCTTATATGTGATCGATTCAATAGTGCGACAATCTAGACATCAGTTTGGACAAGATAAAGACGTCTTTGCTCCAAGGTTCGCGAAGAACATGCAGCAGACGTTTGCCAATTTGTTTCGATGCCCTGCTGAAGATAAGGTTAGTTATGTAAAATTGTCCATTTTAGGTTATACCCGTTCATTTCTTATCAGTGTATAAAACAAATATAGTTGTATGTATTACTCCTATGTCCATTACTCCTAACAACATTGTATTATGTCAATGACTTTTTAACTTCAACAAATTTGGTTTCATGATATCATACAATTACTTTTGAAAATTTCTGAAAGTTAAAAGAATAAATTAGTATTTTGCTAAAATATTAAATAAGGATTAATAATTAACAGAGTGTATATTAAATGAATTACTAATGTATATGACTTGATACAGCAAACAAATAAATTGAATTATTTAAATAATTTCAGCGTAACATAATCCGAGTTCTCAATCTATGGCAGAAGAATAATGTGTTTAGTCCTCAAGTTATTCAACCATTACTAGACATGGCTGACCCCAACCATCCACTTCATCAAGAAATTCAACAGAATAATAATGCTAATGGTAAGTCAATATAAAAAATAAAAAAATATTAATTAACACCTTTTACTAGGAATAAAATAACATAAAAGCTTCTTAATGAGATTTTATGGTAAAATTTTTTGTATTAAATATATTTCTATAAAAGGAGGAGTTCACATTGATAGTTAGACAAAAGTCACATTGCTAATTACTTTTTTCTTAAATCTTCAGGCAGCAGTTTAAACTTAAGTCACAATACATCTGACAAACTATCACCAATACCTGCTCAACACACACCAAGATCTGCATCTCCTATGGGTGATCAGGTAAATTTTCATAATCATAATTGAATCCCAGGTTACAAGTCTTATGACAATATAGATATGTGAGAATAATGACTGCTTGCTTAATGCATATCTTTTTCATCGTTTTTGGTACATAAAACTGAAGACTTCAAAGCTGTTTTAAACACCTTGCTTGTCATTTTATAACGCTGTAGTTGCCTCAAAAAATAATTCTAGATCTCTTTTGTGAAATCTTTATTGACCTTAGAACCGTTTATCTACTTTGCTATGTTTACTAGAATCACGTAGAGGCCCTTGCTTCCTGCTAATTCATAATTCTCATCAATATAAAAGTAAAAAGTGCACCGTTAGCTTACAAATTTTCTAATTATTTATTTCTCAGTTCCAGGATGAGCCATCTGGGCAGCCCGGTGTGAAATTCAATAGGAAATTGCTCAATGACTTTGAGTATGAAAGTGAAGATGAACCTCCATCTGATCCTCCTCCTCAGTCAACTCAGTCGTCTCATTCCACACACTCAGGTCATACTGGACATTCTCAATACAATACTAACAGTGCTCCTTCAAATCAGAATCAAACTCAGAATCCTGCTGATGCTCTTGGGAGGTAAATAAACATTTTTTTTAGTTGTTAGATGGGTGGACTGCCTCACGGCCCACCTGGTGTTAAGTGGTTACCGGAGCCTATAGACATCTACAACATAAGGTCTTACTTTTAACAGTATAACGACTGCCTCGCCCTTCGAACCGAAACGCACGCATTAACAAAAAAGTGGACCTGAGACCTACACATATCTTTCAGAATTGATTCTTTAAAAGAGTGAAATAATGTATGGTAAAAATTTTTAATGCCACATGGTGAAGTGATTTGATAATAAAAGTATTTCAATAAAGCTGAAACCAAATATGATATTTTGCAGTATACTTACAAATCCAGAGATTATGAGACAACTACAGAGCCTGCAAGCCCAGATGCAGATGATGACCGGAATGCAAATACCTGTAAGTTAGCTGTATGTTTTTTTTTTTTTTTTAAATACATGCATTTGTATTAACACAAATAAATTACTGTGTGTATAAATTTTTTCATATTTTTAGAATTTTATGCCCATGATGTCTGAAATGCAAATGCAACAAAATCAAGGACAAAATTTATTTATGGTAAGTTTCCACATGCTCAGTAGCAACTTGCACAGTAAAAGAATATTAATAGTAATAAAATAAAATTTGTAATATTAAATTATTACTTTAATATGGCCTGTAGATGTAGGTACCACTGTCCTGCCTGTTCCTTCCTGAAGCAGTCATGCATTCTGGTTTGAAGGATCAAACTACCATTATTGAGATTTCAACCTCATGTCTTAAGTTAGATGGCAACATTCACAATGCAGTGTCTATGGGCTTTATTAACCACTTAACCCTATATGGGTTATAAGTTAGTCCACATACCTTGTCCAATATCAAGTACATTGGAATTATTAGTGGAGTCCATTTTTGAACACAAATTTGCAAAGAAAGTCTGTAAAATAATAGACTACGTAATTCATATGTACCGTCCGTCAATATATACCGTGTAGTCAAACCGTGTCAAGTGATTTAAACTAGCCAGTCGATTTACACTGTTATACTGTATATGAAGTCGAAGTATAAATAGTAACATGTGAAGATTCTACTTTTCTAATTGGACTGTCTTAGTTCTAGAGTAAAATAGGCATCGGGGTGTAATTTACACAAGTGCTACACATTTAAGCACCAGTTATACAAATTGATAAATTTAAACCGATTTTAGTTCTCTTTTGTATACAGAAATCATATTTGAGATTTAAATAAATAATTTACGAACACTTTCGAATATTGTACATGTGTGTAGTTGAGAAGCATGGTCAATTAAATTTGCAAACATGTATTTAACGAGATTTTAATATCTATTAGGTGTCTCATATCCCTAATGTACTTCATTTCATAGAATTCTTTCAATTCATAGAATTCTCAACTGGAGCAACAGAAACAAACAGAGACAAAAGATGATGTCGCCAATGAATCGGACATAGAGTTTGTCGACACTGGACCGCAGGTGATTGAGATAACCGATGCTAATGACTCCAGGTAAGAACCCATGAATTTTACTCCAGTCCATTTCTATTTGCTCAGTGAATGTAAGAGCATAACTGTTAGTATGAATTGAGTGAGAGCCATTATTATTGCACAAGTGAAATATTTACCACATATTTGAAGGTGATTATGGCATTCTCATTACGTGTTGTAACAGCTCAGGTAAGTGTTGCATAATGGGGGAAGCGAGGCAGTTGTTCTGTTGGTCTTACCTATTTAGTATAGTGATGTATATGGACTCTGGTAACTAATTAATACCTGGACAGGCCATGAACTCATTAAAAGCAATGAAAAAGTGTTTGATTCCACAATACGAAATCATTTTCTATCAGGAGAGCTGTAAGCTATCTTGAACGGCAAACAAAATTATGTATGTGCAGAATCAGACCATAACACAAGCTGGCAGCTCAAAGCAGATGCAGAAATAGACACTCGTGTCAGAACACGGAGAGATCACAAACAAACGGTTACAATAAGGGCGAAAGGTTATTATTGCCGAAACAACGAATCATGTGCTATGTGTAAAGTAATAAATCAAATTTCATGTGATTGTAGCGTAATGTAAAGCATGTTACATGTGCCATAACCTCTTGCGTCAAAGAACATCAGACAATGTCGATCTGCGTTAGTTGCGGGAGCCGCCCCCCCAGCCGGTATTTCCCGCGGGGGGGGGCGGCTCCCTGAGCGTGTCCGTGTCGCAGGAGCCCGTCCCCGCGCGGGCGCCGCCACCGCTCCCGCTCCCCGCGACGCCGCCGCCGCTCGCGATCGCCGCGCCGCCGTCGCGACAGGTGACTACTACTGTCTAATTTTTTTTTTTATATTTATTTCATTTCGCATAGGTAATTATTTCATTTCATTTCATAAGACCAGAGTTAATGGGATGTGTCAGGTTCAATTGAACACAATAAGAATAATAGTTCAGAGACACCAGATTACATCCATATCTTTTAATAATACTCATACTTATAACATATAAAACGTTGTCAATATTCATTATTTTTTTATTGAATGAAATGAAGACTACAAAATTATTAGTAGTTAACCTATAACTGTGCGACTGCAACACCTATAAGCTGCCCACTGCTAATAAAAATCGTTTCCAAACTTGATAAGCAAACTGTAAAAATTAACAAATCAATCAATCATCAATAATATTTTGCAGGGATAGAGACAAAGACAGAGAAAAGGAAAGAGAGAAGCAGAACAAAGAAAGAGAGGCAGAGAAAGAGAAACAAAGAGAAAGGGAAAAGAAAGGACTCCCACCAATCAAAAAAGAACATCTCAGTGGTATGAGTTTCCTTAATTTTTTAAACCTGCAAGAGGCGTGACCATTTTGTAAAAGTGGCTTACATACATTATAATTTATCGAAAACAACACAAAAAGAAATTGTAGAATATGTAACGATTTGGTTTGTTTTAGTTTCTCTAAAATTTCATCATTTTCTGTAGTGTGCACATTAAATATTGTTATCTTTATTAGTTACTAAAATTTAATATTTTAAATAATAATAAATAATTGGTGGTGAAATGTAATTCAATACCAGTACATATTTTGAGTCATCGGATGACTCAAGCTTCAGTTGCAGTGTTTATAGGCAGTGCACACTAAACTGAAAATGTAATATTGAACAAAGCCTAATGCTATAGATAAAGTGATCTGATCAATAGTTTCTTTGTTGAAATTTGTTTTACATTTATTATTAAAAATTTAAGTATCAGCAAATTTTAAGATTCCGAATAAACAAATTTATAATGATGTATGTTTCAGTGTGCAGTACGACTCTATGGGTGGGACATCTGTCCAAGCTGGCGACGGCCGAGGAGCTGTCCGACCTGTTCGGCGCCATCGGGGGCGTCACCTCCATCGACGTGGTGGCTCCGCGGGGCTGCGCCTTCGTCGTCATGGAGAGGCGCCGCGACGCCGCCCGCGCCCTGCAGCGCCTGCACAAGCACAAGCTGCACTGCAAGGAGATCACCGTGGCCTGGGCGCCCGGGCGGGGGGTCAAAGGTACACTGCTTGGCCACAGAACTCTTCTTGGTATCTTCCTCAAGAGATTGTGCATCATCTGCGAAGCAATTGCTCTTGAGTTCTTAGGTCTCCTTCGGGTAGTTGTTAGCAAATCCCACCCCTCCTGGCTGAGCCTATGCTCGCCCACCTGTCACCTGTCCTGGTGAAACTGGAAAGGCCTCCGGGCCACCAGTAATCTTTCAATAAATTATTGTGCTAACTCCACAGTAGTGATAGACCCTTCAGGGCTTAGCCATTATAATTTTCTCTTTTTTTTGTTATGAAAAACTTTGAATAAGAATGATTATCGAATGAGGAAGAGAGGCGAACACTGAAGAGTTCTGTCCGTGTGCCAGGTCGCGAGTGGCGCGACTACTGGGAGGCGGAGCTGGGCGCGTCGTACCTGCCGTGGGGCGCGCTGCACGAGCGCTGGACGCACGCCGCGCTGGCGCTGCACGCGCTCGAGGACGGCGGACACGTGGACGAGGACACGCTGCCGCCCTGGCTGCCGCCCAGGGTCAGTACCGCTCAGACACAGCCTCTTCGGTCGCGGTTCCGATCCGCTGGTAGATTCTGCGAAGCACGGCTCTTGCTAGGGTTCGTGTTAGCAACGTCGTCAGGTTTGAGCCCCGTGAGCTCACCTACTTGTTAAGGTTACGCTGACATAGCCTCTCAAGGCGCTCAGCTTAGGTAGAAAAAAAAAGCGGACGCTCGGCCATTGACCCCATTACGGTTGACATCATTCAATCGGTTTATTCATGGCGTGCAGTACAAAGATTACAAAAATACAATCTATACTTCTATACCAATATATAAATCTACAGTAGTTTTTACGGATGTTCCGTTATAACTACTGAACTATGCGTCCAATCAACTTGAAACTTCGTATCCATGTAGAAAATACATATACTTAATGGATAGGCTAATATTTATATGAGCGTTGGACTCCCTCATGATAATAATAATGTTAATTTTAAATGCCCAGCGAAGCAGACGGGCAGCTAGTTTTTTTATATTTTTACCAACTGCACTTCATCTTTGATTTTTTTTTATTTGTTTGATAAGAACAATATACATGAAATTTTATGTACGTGAATAATCCGGACGCCACATATGAACCTTCACTGTATACTCGCAGATCCTTCCCAAAACGATGATGGAGATGCCAATGATGCCCGTGATGCCGCCGGTGTCGGGGGCGCCCGGCATGATGCCGCCCACCATGCCCAACATGGCCGGTATGCCCCCCATGGCCAGCATGCCCAGCATGCCCGCGCTGCCGCCCACGCCCCTTCCCAACATACCTCCAGGTGAGTTCCCCCTCGTATTTAACTGCTGCATCGCATTCGCATGGTAGCGGCGACTTATTTTGCTAGCAATTGATAAATTAATTACATTTTCACTGAAATGTTGATTCCTCAAAATCAAACTATATTATTACTTGGTCGATGGTCGTGTTGTACCACCGTCATATCTACCCCTGGGAGTGATCGCCTGGAGTAGACAGTCACCGTCATAAGCTTCTACATTGAAACTTATCGAAAATATATGTAGTACTGTTTGTAACTATTTGTGAAGCCGCAAAAATTATTGTTCAATTTATATTTTGTTTTTGTATTTATTTAGACAGTTTTGATAAAGAGTGACGTAGAATTCCTTGCAGGAGCGATGTCCCTGGGAGGAGCCAACCCGCTGTCCGTCCCCGTGCCCAGAGGACCGCCCCCCGGGTATGTACATTACACTATGCGATTTGAATTAATATGCAGCTCAAGGGGAAGCTATCCTCTTATTATTGCCATAGACAGTTGGGTTATTACATATTGATATATGGGCTATTAGGCTTACAGCCCTTTAAATTAATGGAAAAATTAAAATAAATATTTTTACATAATAAAATCCTGTAGAATTTTGAAAATACTATCTGAGGCTAACAAACTCTGAGGTAGCTCGCCTATACCCGGTGAAGTCAATAGCCCCTTGAGGCTACTGGTAGTAGGTAGGAAAAAAACACAATATATGAGCAAGATGATGCAGCTCACACTGGCCCTCGTAGCCCCAGGTCATAGCCCTTTTGGGCTTAGGCTAAATACTCCCTTAGTGGATGCACAAAGTTCATTGCCAATATCTGCTCTAAAAAGGCATGAATTGAAAGCTATAATATTAAATCAACTATCACGTTCATACCAAACTACAGCTAATGGTGGTTTTGCAACAGTCACAGTTGATATAGTGGTCTTAAATGAAACAAATTCTTTGTCTACAGGCTAGCAACAACAATGCCCCCGGGTATGACTCCGGCAATGCCACCGGGCATGAGACCCCCGGGGCTACCGTCCGGAGTACCGGGTCTACCGTCTGGGGCACCAGGTAAAGAGATTTAATATTATTTAAAGCTCGGGTAGGAGCCTTAATTTTCATCATCACAAAATACCCATTACAATTAAAGATGAATTCTGTTTCAAACGAAGCAGTGATTAGTTGAAAGAATTCATAAAAGTAAATAATAGTTTAAAAAACGAACAAAATACGTACCACCACCCTGCCTATTTCTGCCGTGACGCATACATTGGTTTCAGTTAGGAGAGTTTTGCTCTAAGAAGAAAGAGGAAGACCTAAAAAAATATGGATGGATTGTATGAAAGACGATATGCGTAAGAGCAGAGAGAGCAAAGAAATAGTATATGATAGAGGACTATGGAAGAAAATAAATAATAGTTTAAAAAAACTAACAAAGCACGCTTTTATAGAAAATCCAACTAAAAATTTGAAAATAATTATAAATAAAGGGTGCTTTTCAGGATATTATCAAAATAACTGTTCTACTCATACCTGTTCATAAAATATTTATAACTACTGATACCATGCACCCCTCGTTTTTTTTACAATACAATCATTTTTTCTTAAACTATTTTTAATTCATTTGAATTATTAAAATTCATTATAAATTTTTTAGGTGATTTTTTCCAATTTTTTTATTATTTTTTTTAATATTCAATTGTCATCGGTCCTTAATAAGTATACCAAAAAATTTCGAGTTAATCCGACGTTTTGAAGGGGGTCAAAATCATGTTCAAAGATTCCGTTACAAACGTCTAATACATACGTTTGAAGCTAATAAAGCGTATTAAAAAGAAGAAGAATAGAGTTTTTCCTCAAAACGTAATTGTGCTTGTGCAGGGCTGCAGAGCGACGCGGGCATGGCGTCGGCGGGGCAGCTGCTGCGCCTGCCGCCGCAGAGCCTGGGACAGCCCGGTAACACTCCTCGCACCACTACGTCTATACTAATATATACATCTACAGTGGCTTTTACGGATGTTCCGATACAACTACTGAACCATGCATCCGATTAACTTGAAACTTGGTATCCATGTAGAAAATACATGTAATTAATGGATAGGCGAATATTTATATGAGTTTTGGACTCCCTACACCAGTTGTGGGGGCGTTAATGATGATAATCTTTGTTGGGGTGAGAAATAATAATGTTAATTTTAACTCTATAAATGCCCAGCGAAGCGGACGGGTACAGCTAGTCTAATATACGCTTAAGTCACTCGTAACGGACGGTTGTGAAAATAAAACTAAGCGATTGGACGTGGCTTCTTGGGTTCTTCCAAAAAATTCATTGAAAAAAGTTACAGTTAAAACCATCATTTTAATGACAATGTTTCATCCCATCTTGTCTTGTTTCATTTAATTTCATTACTGTTTATAAAACTCAAATTAATCAACTTCATCTCATTTCATATCATATCATTTTTCATGCCGTAACAGATAATAAGAAAGTATGTTTTGGCTTTATGGTCCCATAACCAGAATAGACAATCTTTGAAAAAAAATTAGAGACAAGTAGCGAGATGTGGCACGTAACTTTTTATACATTTTTTTAAGAAATAATCATTTCAAGGGGTGATAGGCTATTTTGGCTTTAAAAATTAGAAAAAAAAATCTTCCATCTATTTCAACGGAGTAAACTTAATTGAAGTTCAATTAAAAACTCTGAACTATTGATGCTTATAAAACTTATAAAGATAAATGTCGCTTAAACCCTTTCACCCCTTGATTTGTATTTAAATCAGTTTAAATAATCACCATATTTTCATGTCGGTCCAAACAAACACATTTTATCATCACGAACTGTGATGTCTCATATCTGGCCAATGGTTGTGAATTGGTATAATAACATGATCTATGTTTAGTTCGTACGTTGCATACATTTTGGCCCCTAATGACGTCACACGTCAAAAATTTGGCAATACTATATGTCTTGCTGAATGTGGGTTCAATGTTGTGTTCCCGTTGCAGCCATGGTGGGCGGCTTCCTGGGCGGCCTGCTGGGCGTGGGCGGCATGCTCCCCGGGGTGCTGCCGATGCCCATGCCGTCTCTGCACCACATGCACCAGGTAACGCCATCATGCCAGATAGCCTTTAGGTTGATGCATTTGCAAACTTTGATTAAGTTGAAAAAAGTTGTAGCTTGCACCGGTGGCTACCATTGTCCTATCTGTTTCTGCCGCGAAGAAGTGCTCTGCTTCTCTATGAAGGCACAGTCGGCCATAACACTTGACAATTGAAACTCTGAGCTCATATTGCAAGCTGGGCAGCGGCTCACAGAGGACACTCTGTGAAGTCCAGTGAACTCATTACAAGCTGTGAACCTCCCGACTACTGCGTAAAGAAATGTCCGAAAAGCTGTTACTGTTAATTTGCGTATATATTTAATAAATAAATAAATATGTATATATTTACTAACGATCACGCCACGTTAACTGGTCCCGTGCTAAGTTCGTAAAGAACTTGTGTTACAGGTACCAGATAACGGATATAAATGTAAGATTTTTATTATACACATGTATATTATATATATATAATATTTGTATGGATGGTTATGGATGTATATTATATAATATACATCCATAACCCTGGAAAAGACATTTTTTAATTATCATACAAATATTTTCCTTTGGCGGAATTCGAACCCGCGACCCCCTTGTGTGATCATGTCACTTACCATTTTTTTTTGTTATTGCTTAGATGCGTGGACGAGCTCACAGCCCACCTGGTGTTAAGTGGTTACTGGAGCCCATAGAGATCTACAACGTAAATGCGCCACCCATCTTGAGATATAAGTTCTAAGGTTTTAGTATAGTTACAACGGCTGCCCCACCCTTCAAGCTGAAATGCATTACTGCTTCACGGCAGAAGTAGGCAGGGCGGCAATATACCCGTGCGGACTAATAAGATGTCCTACCACCAGTAATTACGCAAATTATAATTTTGCGGGTTTCACTGTGGAAGTCAATCGTGAACATTACTACACCACTACACCAGACGGCCGTTATATATTTGCATGTGTATTGTTTTCAACTACAGCAGCAGCAACAGCAACAACAGCAGCAACAGCAGCAGCAACAACAGCAGCAGCACCAGCCGCAACAGCAGCAGAACGAGACGAGTGAGGCGGAGGACGCCATGGAGCTGGACACGGAGGAGAGCCACGCGGACGCGGAGCCGCACGCGCCGCCCTCCATGCTGCTGCCCGACCAGGTACCCACCCACTCACTTTATTTATTTACCTATAGTAGAATTATTTTGTCGGTGCAGTTTGGGTCATAAAACATAGCCCGGCTAGGGCGGGGAGCAAGTTGCGCGGGCGTAACGTCGTTATCGATAAAAAACAAATGAGTCATGGAAGGCAGGTACACGGCGGCGGGGTGATATACGAAGGGTGGTGAGACATTGTTATGTTATGAGTCATTTGTTGTACCTACCTGCAAATTATAGTACAGATATAGATGCAGATATAGTGCAGATTTATGAATTAAATGTTTTAATAATTTTGGCTAATTTTAATTTTAACTTTAATTTTACTAACATAGTTATAAGTATTACTCTACTTACAACATATGGACTTAATGGATGGTCTGAATTAAATGTTTTTTATTTTTTTATTTTATTTTATATACACAATCACATATACATACATACATAGATTACACTTTAGCAGTACAAGTGGCCTCCTGCTGGTTCAGGGACCAACTTGAGAATTGCTCGAGGGCACTCAACAACATTGTTGACCCCTGTTGACTCTTGCCTACCCCGTACTACCAGTAACTTCAAGGGGCTATTCTGACCAGGTGTAGGCGAGTGGCCTGAAGGAGTTTGCTAACATCTGTCCCAGTAAGAGCAGTGCTTAGCCGAATCTACCACCAGATCATAACTGCGATCCACTGAGAAGGTCCGGTGAGAAACTCAGTGGGTTGTGTCCGTGGGTTAAGTCGCACGTTGAACCCTTCACAGCATTTGACGGGTTCGACGAGAGCGGTGACTAGCGGTATTATTTATACAAAATAGTATTATTTTTTTAAGTTAACTTATATTAACTAATCCTAGTTTTACCAGCGGGACCTTAATAAGTTTTAAAGGAAATTATTTACCGGCTGCTTATCTTGTACAGATCCAAGCGCTGCTCTCGAAGCCTCCTCCGAACTTCAACGCGTCCGAGCCCCCGCCGACCTTCAACGCATCAAAGCCCCCGCCCTTCAGCATCAACCAGCCCCCGCCCTCGGAAGATAAACTGGACGACGACAAGAAGAGCGACAAGGACAGAGACAAGAAGGACAAGGAGAGGGACAGGGACAGGAGAGATCGAGACCGCGACAGGCGGGACCGGGACAGGAGGGAGAGGGACAGGGGGGGTCGGGACAGAGACAGGTCAGCGCTATGTTATATTTCCATTAATAAAAATACGGTTTCCTCACTGTTGTGTGATAATTAAATATAGTTTTATGAACAGGGAACGTGATGACAGAAGAGATCGCGACAGAGACAGGGGAAGAGACAGGAGGGACAGAGATAGAGATCGCGAGAGAGACAGAGACAGACAACCGTCACGAGATAACAGGTCAGAAGCATTGATTGAAGTTATAAGGTTGCCCAGTGTGCTTAGTGCGAGTTTTTTAGCGTAAAAGTTATCTCAAATTTGTATGCAGTTTGAACAGCGCCCCTAGCAGCAAATGTAGGCAAACGCTCCAACTCAATATACATTTGAGTTAACTTTTACGCTATCGAGAACGTTAAAAAACTCGCACTAAGCACACTGATCAAATATCGCGCGCAGAGCTTGGGAAGCATCGGCTCAAGTGCATATTATTGACTCGCCCACTAAGGGCCTTCTAATTAAATATCGATTTAGTACTCAAATATATACCTTACACACTTCACAGTATAAGGTATATTTAAACAAATTTGTATAGACTGCTTATTGCTATGAATTACAAAATCAACCACTGGTACACCTAAAGCTATATAATTATGATCTCCGCGCTGCATGAGCTGATTCATTCGCGATTCTCGCCGATGTACTCAAGAAAATCTAGAACTTGCGTTATATAAATAATTCAGAACAAATTGAATACGTCATCCGGCTCTAAACTAATATTCTCTGCTCTATGGGAACCAGAGACTGGTATACCTAAATAAATATTAAACATTTAGTAATGCCAGTAAACATACTGATATTTGCTCTGTGTGAGCACCGTACTGTCATATAGACTAAACTCACATGTTTACGTTAGTCCCAAACTAATTTCGTCAATAAAACCTCAAATTATTGCTGTGGTAAAACGTGCAGACATCGATTGTATTTTCCTATCAGCTTTAAATAAAACATTTTTTGTAATTTTCGGTAGTGCTTACAGTTCTTTCGTCCTTTTTTATTGAGAAATAAAAATAAGATAGAGATATCTTATTTTAATAACTTTCATCGCCTTTTTTAAAATTAATTTTAGCGCCACCCTTATTTAGCAGATTTTAATGGACACTTTTTACACAGAGACGGTTCTCCTTACTTCTACGATACTAACATTAATTACGATAGACATAGACATTAGACCATAGTAATCATTTAAAAATAATTTCTGCCAAAGATGCTTGTCAATAATGAAATATTTTATCGAGCAGCGATCGAATAAAGGAGAAATCGCCTCGAGCCCTGAGCGGCGAGAACGAGAAGTCGTTACAAGAGAGGCTGTGGGAGATGGCCAACGGCAAGCCCAACGGAGCCGCCGACGACAAGCGAGACTCCGCCGCCGAGGAGCGGCCCCCGCCCGCCGACCGACCCGACGCCGCGCCGCACGCCGACCACCCTGAGCACCCTGAGCACCGTGAGCACAGTGAGTACCCGCACGACGAGCATCTCCAGCTGAATGCTAACTGTTTGATCTACGAAATAATTACGTTTGAAGTCGTTGTGGCCTAAAGGATAAGACGTCCGGTGCATTCGTATGTAGCGATGCACCGGTGTTCGAATCCCACTGGCAAGTACCAGTTTTTCTAATGAATACGTACTTAATAACTGTTCACGATTGACTTCCATAGTGAAGGAATAAAGAATTATAATTTGCGTAATTACTGGTGGTAGGACGTCTGTGAGTCTGCAGTGAAGCAGTAATGCATTTTGGGTTTCAAGGGTTGGGTAGCCGTTGTAACTATACTGAGACCTTAGAACTCGTATCTCAAGGTGGGTGGCGACATTTATGTTTAGATGTCTATGGGCTCCGGTAAGCACTTAACACTAGGTGGGCTGTGAGCTTGTCAACCCATCTAAGCAATAAAGAAAAAAAACGCAAATACGAAATTGACATTTTGTACAGTGACGTCATCATTTAAGAATAGGGTATAATATCAATGTTAATATTGTAGGAAATGAAAATACTTAAAGCCCATCATACCTCCAGAAGTTTTAATTTTCTTTTTGTTCACCGCTTTTATTACTAAGAGCTACTACTACAAAGCAGAATCCTTTGCGCCTGAATAAAGCAGAATATAGGTTATTGCTGGAGTCATAATGTAGTTCTACTCAACAACAAATCTGAGAAAAATTAAACCCGCAAAATTATAATTTGGTCCTTACTGGTGGTAGGACCTCTTGTGAGTCCGCGCGGTTAGGTACCACCACCCTGCCTATTTCTGCCGTGAAGCAGTAATGCGTTTCGGTTTGAAGGGTGGGGCAGCCGTTGTAACTATACTTGGGACCTTAGAACTTATATCTCAAGGTGGGTGGCGCATTTACGTCGTAAGTGTCTATGGGCTCCAGTAAGCACTTGGGTGGGCTGTGAGCTCGTCCACTCAACTAGCAATAAAAAAAAAGAAATTAATATTAAAATATAAAACGAGCACCTTTTTATTGAGACAGATTGTTTAACTGTATGGTCTTGTGGCTACAGCTGCGGACACGGAGCCCCCCCGCGGCTGGAGCGCCGTGCCCCCGCGCGCCGCGCCCCCCGGCCCCCACGGGCCCCTCGGACCGCACCTCGCCCCTCCCTTCCGAGCCGGTATGTGGTTTGGTTTCCTTTGTAAACTCTAACGACTTTTCAGTAATTATATTTTGTTTCATTATATTCATTTTAGAACAGACCTTTATTTTTTTTTGAAGTGAAAATTCTTTAGAGTCGTTTTGATTTCAAAGTCGATGAAACGAAAAAATAAGTCCATAGAGACACAAAAACATAAATGTATAGGATTCAGCCGGCGAGAGAATGAGATAGAACACATTAGACGTGAAATTAAAATATCAATTCACAGAGGGCGCTACCTCATACTATAAATAAAAGATGATTTACAATTATTATTATGTGTGAATTGCACACATGCTTTTTTTTCATTGATAACTTATTTAGATATTTAAGATAGTAAATTTGTGATAAAAACAAAAAAAAAGCTCATTACTAAATAGTAACCAAATAAAAAATTATTAAATTGGTTATCCGATAGAAAAGAAAATTCAACTCCAAAGTCATTTTGATCAAGTTTGATTATAATGGGCTTTAGATGAATTCAATAATTTTTAGATTATATGTATTGATTTATCTGAGAATTGTAGTGTAAGGTTAAGACTGAAAAAAAGCATCTTTTGCTTTATGTGGGGCTCACATGAAGTTTTCATTTACAGAATTGAGAATGAGGGGACCACCAAGGCAGCCGATGCCAGGTATGACTTGTGAGACTTGTCCACTGTCATCATACTTGTCAGTCATATATGTGTGCTCACTTGAGTCTTTTACCATTTCAGGACACTGGATGGACGGTCCAGGACCTTTCGGTCCCAGGTTCAACGGCATGGGACCACCCTTCAATCGACCTCCGTTTGAAAGACCTCCTTTCGAGGGGGGCCCTCCGATGTTTGACGGCCCGCCCCGTTTTGAACGTCCCCCATTTAATCGAATGCCTTTCGATATGAATCGTCCACCGTTCGACGGTTCCCGCCCTCCCTTTGACGGGCCCAGGCCGCCTTTCGACGGACCGAGACCGCCCTTCGACGGTTCCAGGCCGCCCTTCGACGGACCGAGAATGCCTTTCGACGGAACTAGGCCTCCGTTTGATGGGCCCAGGCCGCCATTCGACTGTTCTCGACCGCCGTTTGATGGCCCAAGGCCCCCCTTTGATGGCTCCCGTCCCCCGTTTGACGATTCGCGATCATATGACGGACCACCGTTTGACGGCGACAGATCTTTCGAAGGACCCCCAGAGTACAGAAACAATAGAAGATTCGACGACAGAGAACAGTACAACGAAAGAGGTTGGAACGGGGAAAGGGAGAGGGGAGATCGCGAGTGGGAGCGGAAGAACGAGTGGGACGACAGGAGACGGGAGCGGCGCGGGCTCCCCAGGGAGCACGACGAGCGACAGCGGGACCGCAACCACGACCGCAGGAGGCAGCACGAGGAGCGCCGCCCGCCGCCGCCCAGGGACGACCTGCCCTCCGTGCCCACGCCCGCCCCGCCCCCCAGGAGGGACAAGGACAGGAAGTCGCGCTGGGGGGCGCCCGACGACACCGCGGCCCCCGACCTGCCGCAACCGCTCGACCAAACCGAGCAGCCACAGCCGGATGAACCTCTACTCGACCTCGACAACATAGTCATGCCTCCCAGCCAGGAGGAGAGCCTCGACACCGACGCGCCTGACGACGTCGAGAACGGAGACGAGTCTAACCTTGAACCTGCGGAACAGCACGAGCCCGGCAGCGACGCCGAGCTCGACGCGGAGCACGACGCCGAGCACGACACGGAGCACGACGCCGACACGCAACACTCGGGCGGAACCGAGCCCGAGGACCACAACGAGCCGCCCAGTGAGAGCGCGTCGACCCTCTACGACGCTAACGACGCTGTGGACACCAGCTTCGCTGCCGCCGTCCCGGAGCAGGACGAGGACTCCAAACCCTCCACTGCGGAGCCGGCGGCGGAGCACAGCGACGCGGCGGATATATTCAGTGAGGAGTCCAAGGAAGAGAGCAGGCAGTCGGCGGCCTGACACCGGCGCCGGTGGAAGGTCGGCTACTTCCAGTGGAAATGATTCGGGTGGCGGCCCTGGCTCGCGACGCGCCACGGGCTCCCAGCGCAACGCCAAAGATTGTTTAAATTTTATACACAAAAGATAATATTGAAATATACGAGTGCCTTATTGGTTACCGACATGGTGTTTTGTTTTGTCGCCGGCGCCGCGGGAGAGGAACCCGCCTCGGCGCTCAAGTGGAGTGACCCGGGCCAGGTACGGTTGCTAGCGGACGCGCCCGCCGAGCACGGCGCCGCCGACACGGGCGCGCCTGTACTCGGCGGGCGGGTGTGCTTTTTATTCGACACAACCGAAATGGAAGCAAATCAATTAATAGATTTAAATGTTTTTTTTTTTATCAACATTACAATTGTATTTTTATTTTTTAATGTTTTTGACGCGGTGTTTCCATTTCGGCTTGTTATATCACTGGCGATGTGTGCAAACCTCGACGGCGGCCGTCCCACCCGAATCGACCGATCAAGGAACAGGAGCGTCCCGACATCCGGAAGACATGAAGATACTAGTTGTATGTTGAAACGTTGTTGACGAACGATTATGATCGAGTTAGAACAGTGATTCGATTTTTAAATCTCAGATAAATCGATTAATCTTATTACATCTCTTTAAATGTTACGTTTCATTTAACGCAAATTTATATATTATATACAAATTACGGTGAAGGTAGAAAAGGAAATAAAGTAACTTATAAAATCTATAAGATAGATAACATTTGATCGTTTGTCATTAAGACACGTAGGAAGCATTCTGATTGTTAGCGGATAGGCGATGTGACGAATTGAACGAGCGAAGTGCGTCGTGAAAATTTTATGAAATAATTCATATCGTACTTTATTTTTTTCCATAGTTGTTTAACATATTTTTGGGGCTTACTAACTCTGGGTCGTATACTCAAATTAATGTTAGATTAATAAAATATATATATATAGGTATATAATTAAAAAAGATATATTTCAATGCATGCTGAAATGTTTGTACAATGATTATTTTTTGTGATTTCAATAAATATCTTTGGAAAAATTTAACGATTTTAGCGATTTTTTTTTCTGTTGTTTTTCAATGTCCATTCGTCGAGAGGCTATTTGCACACATTGCCTAGTGTTTTGTGTTTTTGTGTATTTGTTTCAGCATATCCCGAAGAATAAAAACGTCAAGTTTATCTCGAGTCAAGGTTATTAGAGAAGAGAACCATTAAATACCGGGCACCTGCGTCAGGCGAATTAAAATCGAAGTAAATAATATAGAAGTAACATTATTTTAGCTTCATTCACAATAGAGTAAAACTCATAGTTGAATAAATAGAAATGGAAGAACAACGTAAATTTGGAAGCACATTATTAACCCAATTAGTGAGCTTATATTCAGATATTTTGCAGAAATTGCTGTGGTTTTTGAAAAAAAAAGCTCCTAAAAATCGTTAAACTTAAAAAATATTTAAGAGTCAATGTTACATCACAGTAAAATAATATTAAATTGTTATTTATAAATGATATTAAATTATTATAAACTTTATTCTAAGGGTTAATTTTCATTTTAAAAAATCTAGTTTTTATTCTAGTTTCGATTCATATAGATGCTATTAGTATCAGATGTGCACCTAACGTGTCAAATCATTTTTTAACAGGTTTCAGAAAAGGAGGAGTTTCTGAATTCGTCTACATTTTTTGTATTAATTCAATTTTTTTTCTAGGTGATCTTTAATTATTTTTTTAATGAAAGCTGGAGCTTCTCAGGGGGTTCTCATTTAAATTTTATTGAGACATGACATTTTTATTTTATTAATAATGCTTAATTTACCTCGGCTACATTGGTCATATCGAGGGGCGAAAGTCTATTATGTTTAAGCGAGATTTTTGCAACTTTACAGGAGAGATTTAAGGTTTTAAATTAAAAAAAAAAAACATATCCAAAACTTCTTCAGCTATTCAGCTATGAATAGGGTAAACTGAATTAAAGTTTAATTAAAAACATCGAATTGTTGATACTGATACCAAATAAAACAGACCTTTAATTAAAAAGAGAAATGGCGCGTAGTAAGCGAAATGTAGCTTAAACCAAATAGCCTTTTTTCAATTTTCGTTAAACTTACTTTTTTTTTTATCCTACCCATGCTGATAGCATTGAGAGGCTATTTCAGCTTCACCCTAACATGTAGGTGAACTCACTGGGCTCAAACGGGTAGTGTTGCAACACTGGCCCTAGCAAGAGCAGACCCACTGAGAAGATCCGGCTAGAAACTCAATGAGCTAGACTTACTCATTTTGTATTGTTATAGTCGATTCTTTTTTTAAATTTTGTATTATTGTTTATGGTTTTTATAACTTTCGCGGCGTTCGCGCTTTATCGAATACATCTTTAAACGCAGCCAAGTAATAAAAGAACTATGCGCAAAAGTATAAGACGTATGGAGTACTCGTATCGACGCATATGACTTTGTCACCTGTGTAAATTCCGGACGCATTAACTATTTTTTTGAGAAAATATGCACTTAATTCATGTGCACAAACGACTTAACCGACGCAAGAATAACGTCGACTAAAAAAAATCAAACACTTGATTTTATTTATACAATAACACTTCTCAGAGCCTACTGTTAGTCCACACTGGTACATACCACTATTTTATCTATTACTGCCGCAAAGCAGTCTTGCGGTCGAGTTTGAAAACTGGGACTGACGTCCGTTAATGTGTGGTGCTTACAGACTCCAAAAACCACAGCGGTTGAGACGTAAGCACGTTCATAAATCTGTACAATGATGTTTCATAAATATTTTCAGTATACCAAGAGTCGATACTGGACCTCTTGTTAGATTGGTCAGGGTTACTTATCACTAGACTAACGAGCCGATAAGAGTAAAATCAATCTTTTCTTTTTAAGTATGGCAATTGGGTTCTTGCGATAGATGTCATTGTTGGCTGTGTCGAGTTATTAAAAATCTTCAGTTCAACTTCTTAAAAGTAAAATCTGTTATGAAATACGATATGAAGTTGATTAATTTGAGGCTTTAATCAAATGGGACGAAATTAAATGAAACAAGCTAGTTAAGATGAATTATAGTCTCAGTAAATGGTGGTTTTTTAATGAGAGTTTCTTACTTACCTATACCCTCCATAGGCCATACACATCTACCGTATGTTGATACTTTTTAACTGTTTGGTGGGAACGCGAGGAGTAAAGTTGTGTGTATTGTTTTATTTTGTCTATTTAGTGTTTCTTCAGGTTTAAATGTGTAAAAACGATGGTTTATTAACTGTTTAGTATCTGTAAAAGTGCAGAAATGTGAAAAAATGAAACAAAGTCGCTGAACGTAACTTCTCGGGATCCTCCAAAAAGTCCACTGAAAAAGTTTTAGTTAATGACCACCATCTTACTGAGATTATACTTCATCCCATATCATATCATCTCATCTCATTTCGTTTTCATTTCATTTTATGTATTATTCATAATAATCAACTTCATTTCATAATATCATTTTTCATATAAAAAATTTATAGTTAAAATTAAAAAGTTAGTCTTAGATACCAGGTCATAAAATCCTTTAAAAAAATTGGAGCTTTCTGACGGATGACATTGGACGTTAAGTCATTGCAGTCAGCTGTTAATTGTCACTCAGATTTCATTATTTTTCCAATTGTTTTGTAAATGAGTCAGAGAAATACTATTCATTATATTAATATTCTGCCGAAATAAAGATTTTCATTATATTTCTTGCTAAGAGCGCTTAAATTATAAATAAAAATGGCTGACGTACTAGTTATAACTCAAGACTATGTTAATGTACACATTACAAAATCGGACAACGAAGATGCGGCGCCGATCGAACGTAGATTTAAAAAGGGAATCAATATTCTTGAATTTAAGGTAAATAATATTCCTTTTCACAATTTTTGACTATCGTTTATGATATTTAGCTGGCAATTTCCAGATTTAGATTGCTTTACTGGAATTCGAGCGTGAGCGGGCGTATCAGAACTTCGTCGATCTTGCAGCCTATTTGGTGCTAAGGGGCTTGAGGGGACCACGGTTATGAATCCCACTATCCGCCTTGATACAGATGACAAACTGTAAATTGTGTTAAAAAGGCAGGACAAATGGTGGATGTGAATAAACACAAACCAATACAAAATATCTTTATCTTTCAAATGACCATCAAAATCAACCTCTTTCTATTTAAATCACATTTCTACTGAAAATCATCATGTCTCCCGATCTTATTTACATTATTAAGGAATACTGGAGAGCAGTTATATATCATGACCTGTAAAGAGGACTAATGTAGATATTTATGAGATCCTTTTGAATTTGATGAATGATATAGGTATACTGGGTTGGATCGACGCCAATAATCCTCTGTAATAAATTCTAAATAAAATAGTATATGACCAACATATAATTTCATAAAACAATTATCAAAAAACTGAAAACGCTTTTCAAATGTAATTTTACAAAAATCATTACACAACTTTCAGACAAAATTAGAGCTACTCACTGGCGGGTCCCCAACCACAATGAAATTAAAATTATATGACAAGAAAAACAACTTTGTATGTGATATAGAAGATGATAAAAAACTTCTTGGCTCATACCCGATAGATGATGGAATGAGGATACATGTCATTGATAAGTTTTCTCTTGTCAATGATTTTGCTACTTCTGACAGCGCTGAGAGGCAAGTTATTAAAATAAAATTATACATGACACTATAACATACTTAGCTCATTTATTATAGGTAAGCAGAAACCAGAGCCAAGAGATGGATGCCGCACTAAGAATATGTGCTTAATACGTCTTCACAAATAACTCACACCATAAAAAAAAAACATTTTCTTTTTATATAGTGCATAAATAAAATTAAACCATTTATAATTTTTTATCAGTAAAAATGTTTGCGCATATTATTGTTGTCACTCGTCACTTGAGTCAGTACAGCCGTCCTGCCTATATCTGTCATCGAGCGCTATTAGTTCCAGTGAGGCATCTATTAATTACGTCAGGAATTTTTGAGAAATTTTCAACCCCCCTCCCTCCTTGGTGACATTTCGTAAGATTTTCCTTAACTTGCTCCCCTAATCTCACATGAGATTCTTCAAAATTTGTTTTGGTAGTAAACTTGATGGATTATTGAGAAAAAATAAATACTTGTTGTTACTTATAGAAATCATTTTTTATATAATTTTATACCCTTTTCAGCTAGATAAAAACATGTTTGCTAAGACCCCGGCTTCCCCCCTAAGTGAGATTTGACGAGATTTAGCTTGATCCCCCTCTCCCTTAGAACACCTCACATAATTAATGGACATCCCCTAATACAATTTCAAAATCACCACATAATGCCAGAGAGGACATGAGCTCTTCTGCCAATGGGATAAAAAAATATCACTGTCTCAAAAATTGTAAAAATGTAACTAATACTAAATTACCTTTCCTCTCTTTCTAAATAAGTAATTTATATGCCAAAAATATGACCCATGTTATTTATCTATCATTGTTAAAAACACTATATTATTTCAGATTCCGGTTATCAGAAGAGGACTATGAGAAAAAGGGTGATACTCTCAGATCTTTCCTACAACGCAACAGGCTTGGTAAATATAATGAGGAAGAGATGAAGAAAATGAAGGAACAACAGGAAAAAGAGTTGGAGGAAGAGGCAAAGTAAGGACCTATTTAATGAATCTCAAAAGGTCAATTTTTTTTGTAAATTTTCACCATGAACAATGCAATTTTTCCTCGAGATTTACATTCCCTGGCAAAATCTGATATGGTTCAATCTTGGAATGAAAGCTGGCAGATTTCTCGTCAGTCAGTAGGTTAAGCATTATGGTAACTTGCAACCGACCCTGCCCTCTAAGCCTTGGTTTTCCTCCCACTGCCATCTTCCTAAAAAAATTGTCTCTGCTATAATCCGTCTTAGACTTTGGCCATGTTTGCTCCCCTGTTTTTCTTGCCAAAATTAGAGTCCGTGACCATTCTCTTTGTGAGTGTGGATTAGATGAGGGTATCCTGGATCACATTTTCTTCGACTGCCCCAATATCGTATCCCCTCTTTATGATATCCTTCCCAATGACATTCCCCGGCCTATTAATATTAATTGTTTATTAACTTTAGTCTATTCTAAACATGTAAATATTCTGTGTAAATTTTTATCTGCTAATAATATTTATCTCTAAAGTAGTTAGTCTAACATATATTTATTTGTGCTGTTCTTAAAACCACAGATTCGCGTATGGAAAAACCGACCAAATTTATTTGTATTTAGATTTAGTAATTTTTTCCCTCTCTAAGCACCTGTCATTTTTGTAAATACTTTGACATTGGCAAAATCAATGCCAAAGGCGTTGGAGCCAAATTATCTAAAAGAAGAAGAAGAACAATGCAATGCTGTTTCATAATAATGTTAAGCTCGTTGGAGAGACCACAATTATTAACACCATCGTCAGAAATCGTAGAGCCGAATAGGGTGATAGAGCTAAGAGAAATATTGAGTACACCAATCACGTTTGTAGTCTTAGAACAATTTAGAAATGTTCTCTTGAAGTTAGCAAACGAAAATGAATGACAGTTCTTAGGACGGAGACACCACTCTTCAAGAAAGTTGGTTGGTAAGTGTGATGGCGTCTACGCGCCTCCATCGGTTAGGCTCTGTCGTAGTCCGAAGTTAGCCGAGTTCGACGATGCCACTATCGTGTTGTCATCTCTTGGAAATCGTGCTGCGTTTTGTTTAGCTGCTAAACTAATGACCGTCTCCGACAAGCGTATCATAAAATTATTGTTGAAGGTTAGCGGAAGCAGTGTTGGTGGGGGCCCGCTGCGAGGTCCGCGTGCCGCAGCAGGGGGCGCGGCGAGGTGTGGTCCGGTACAACGGCACGCTCGCCGGCGCCAAGGGACTTTGGATCGGGGTGCAGTACGACGAGCCGCTCGGCAAGAACGATGGATCGTGAGCTCACTCATTTCTTGATATTTTTATTTTTTAAGCAATATACGTCGTATACAAATTTTCTACCCTTTCTTTTAAGTACTACACCAGTTTGTCACGGCATAGTGTATGTTTTATAAAAAATCAACAAACACTCAACAAATAGCAATGGCAACAAAGTCCACAAGCAATTATAACAAATAACTTAACGATTAATAACGATAGACTTTCCACTGTACGCAAGCGTACTTTTGGGAGCAAGCGGAACGAGGGCGCGGTGCGGGGCGCAAGGTTCGANCTTTCTTTTAAGTACTACACCAGTTTGTCACGGCATAGTGTATGTTTTATAAAAAATCAACAAACACTCAACAAATAGCAATGGCAACAAAGTCCACAAGCAATTATAACAAATAACTTAACGATTAATAACGATAGACTTTCCACTGTACGCAAGCGTACTTTTGGGAGCAAGCGGAACGAGGGCGCGGTGCGGGGCGTAAGGTTCGACTGATCTACCAATAACGCGCTCGATACGATTTCCCCTGCCGTCGCGCCTCACCCTCACCACCAAAGTGATCTAAAATTCGGTTCTGCGCAGTCAAGGTCATTTGCTCAAGAAGTTTGCCGATTACTATAACTAAGACCTTTAAGTCGTGTCTTATTTTAATTTATATTTTTATTTTTATGAAAAAAAATAATATGGAGTAAAATGAAGATGATTAATTTGAGACATTGTTCAACTCGGATGAAATTAAATAAAATGAGATGAGATTAAATGATATGGGATAAAATATAATCTTAGTAAAATGGTGGTCATTTACTGAGATTTTTTCAGTGGACTTTTTGGAGGATCCCGAGAAGTTACGGCCAGCGGCTTTGTTTCATTTTCCCACATTTGTGCACTTTCACAAATATTAAACCACAGTTATTACACATTTAAACCTGAAGAAACACTAAATAGACAAAATAAAATAAATCACACAAATTCACACCTTACGTTCCCGCCAAAAAGTAATTTCTTAATCTATTTATCAATTTCACTAATACCCTCGAAATAAAAAAATTATCACTGTAATTGTAGAATTTTGAGTTACTTTGTATATCGAATGGGATATTTCGTGATTGATTTTCGAAAAACAAAATTGATGACGTTTGACAAAAAGACCTGTTTTTTTAGAGGGGTGAAGGAAGGATATAGTACTTACTACCCATTGGACAAAGCTCGAAATTAATTAATTTTCTTCGATTGTATGTAATTAAAATTAAACACATTGATATTATTTTCAGAGTGAATGGCAAGCGTTACTTCACATGCCCTCCTAAATATGGAGGATTTGTTCGTCCAGCTCATGTCATCGTCGGCGACTTCCCCGAAGAAAGCTTGGATCTCGACGACGAGATATGATCATGCTGATAACCCTCTCGAACATGCACGCAATACTAATTTAGGGTACTGCCTTTTGAATATTATTTTTTAGTATTAGATTTCTATTTTTGTGAACCATTTTGATGTGCTCCAATATTGTGTTAATTAAGGCGTTTAAAATTTTATTCAAATAATTTTGTGTTATGTTGCAATTTTTTTTTGTAACAACCATAATTGTTTTTGACTGAATTAATATCTTATTTTAGAAACACGATAGGTGATTACCCTTTCTGAGCTAGTATCAGGATTTTCTATTCTTTAGTAAGCATCTCAATTATTTAAGAGAACTTCTTTAAAATTTCTATAAATCTCCAATATACCTATACATCTTTTTCTACATGATTGGGAGTAAATAAAACCTCATCCAACAATTTGATTAAGGCTTTTGAAGAATAAAAACATGTAATTAGAAAAAGTATAAAGTCTATGTAATCTTTAATTTAATTTTTTTGTAATTATTTTTATGCAATCAAAGCTTGCTGGCAGGCACTATCATGTTAAAGCCTTATTAACCTAGATTATATCTATCAAGGAACAGAAGGCATGTTATATAATAAAATTACTTTGTGAATTAAAGGACATTATATCTTGCAAGTGTTGAGTTGTAAAAAAATATTCTTTAATTCTGCTTTGAAATTTGTAAATATGAAATATGTGTTTAAAAACATTAAAAATGTGTGGATTTCATGATTTTTAAATCAATCAAATGTAGTCAATCATTATCTATTGGTTTCATCTTGAATTCGGCCTAACATATTTTTTAATCACGACTGTATTTTAACATTCCATCAGTCTAAAATTTTTGATACTCATCTCAGGCAGAGAGCTACAGATCTATCTACTGCTTGTTTTAGTTTACGAGAATTAAAATTGTAATGTTTTTTCACTAATAAAGTTTTACAATAAATATTTGTTTCTTTTTTGGATGGATTTTGAAGGTGAACCTACAGAAAATAAATTTGTACTGTATGACCCATCGAGACAGCATGATGTGGAATTTTTCAGTTCTTCAAGTGCCCATCTTCATTTGGTGGTCAGCTATGACATGTCTTTGAATGATAGGCAGTGTCCGTAACCTTCTATGACCACTCATCAAATGAGTCTGACGTTCGTCTATTTTTCTCGCACAATAAAAATGTGACTAACGAAACCCGTACAGATCAAAACATGAAAGGTGTATCGAAACGCGCACTCGAGAAGTGAACAACCAAACCAAATACGCTGAGCTCATCCACTTGAATCCAATAAAAAAAAAAGAAATATGTAAAAAGTTTGGTTGTAGTCCAAATAACGATTGCGTATAAAAATATTTTATTGTTCCTAAAACTTTCGCCTCTTCAATAGTTCCGGTCGCCAGTTGACCGGGTGAGTCTCCTCCGAGGCCGCCTCGTCCTCCTTGTAGATCTTGATGGTCTTGTCGGCCTCGGCGGTGATGAGGCGGGAGCCGGACTGGTCGAAGCTCATGGCGAAGATGCCGGCCTCCGAGTCCATGGAGCCGGGCTGCACCGCCGTCTGGAACGCGACACATTCGTTGTTATTGAAATTTCATATAAAAGAACGTAGGCATTTTTTCAAGAAATGATGGTCCTATTTTCGGAACGAAGCTCCTTACGGTAGGTTAGGGGGGAGACAGTGATTTTGTTGCGCGACTGAACTCATAAACAATATATTATAACGGAAGCGCTATAGTTGTATACACAAGCGAATAGTGTATAATACCTTTCTCTTTCCACCCTCTTTCTTTCTTTCTTAGTCAGGTAGGTATCCTCTTTCGCCTTCAGAAACTTTACAGACTGCTCGTGTAAGGGTGGTGCGACTGACCTGCAACCTCTGGAAGTTGTAGCCGGTCCTCCAGTCCCAGCAGTACATGGTGCCGTTGTCGCCGCCGCTCACCAGCACGCCCTCGGGGTTTACGGCCAGACAGTTCACTATTGCGTTGTGACCAGACAGGTTTTGTATAAATTTTCCTTCGGGACATTTCCACTGTTTGATGTTATCGGGCGAGGCCGACGCGAACGTGTACATTGTCGGGTGTATCACGATCGCGCGAACGGACTTCTTGTGGTTGGTCAGCGTGCACACGGACTTGCCGGCCGCCAGGTCCCAGAGACGGATGGTCGAGTCGTGCGAGCCGGTTATTATCTGGAATATAATCATTGTACATTACTGGTAGTTGTTACTGGTGGTAGGACCTCATGTGAGTCCGCATGGGTAGGTACCACCACGTTGGGGCAGCCGTTGTACCTATACTGAGACCTTAGAATTTATATCTCAAGGTGGGTGGCGCACTTGCGTTGTAAATATCTATGGGCTCCAGTAACCACTTAGCACCAGGTGGGCTGTGAGCTCGTCCACACATCGTGTCAGTGGGCTTGGCGTGGCGTGGCGTGGCGTGGCGTGGCGGGACGGGGCGGGTCGGGTCGGGGCGCACCTGCGGCTCGGCGGCCTGGCAGGCGAGCGAGGCGACGGTGTCGGTGTGCGCGGCGAGCGTGTGCACGTTGGCCTTGCTGCGCACGTCCCACACGCGCGCGGTGCCGTCGCGGCCGGCCGACACCAGCACGTCGAGGCGCGGGTGCAGCGCCAGACACACCACGGCCGACAGGTGACCGTGGTACTGCCGGATCACCTGCACACACAACGAACCGATCCTAAATACAAAAATTCATCTGCTTTATATACATATAATTATATGGAGTATTTCAGAATGAATAAACAATAATGAATTAGTTGTGGTTTCTGTGATATAGTAAGAAAGCAACATATAAAGCCCTTAACCTCAATTAAAGAGTAAACAGTACATATTATTAATAATAAACTATACAAAACTGAACTCTCTTTTTCACTTCACTCCATGACACTGAATAACACTGAAGAAAAATCCTTTTTAAAATCTAAATAGTTTTAAATAATAAAAGTTTTCTTTACATATATTTAAAGACATATCATTTAACCTATATTTTTTTGTTATTTATAGGTCAATAACTCACTTTGTTATATTCTAAGTCCCAGCACTTAACCTGTCTGTCCTCACCGCAGCTGAATAAATATGGATGTCTTGGTGACACTACCACTCCTGAAATAGAATATATTCATATTACACATACTGGTACTTGATGGATTCTTAGATCATGATTTTCACAATTAACATAGACTCAACCTACGGTCTCTGTGCGTACAACATGATGAAATATCCAGAACTGTGTTAATGTGAAAATTATGATCAGAACTTGTTATGTAATTCTGTAATATACATAGCAGCAAAAGTTTGAAAAAATTAAAAATGTCTACTATTACTAAAATAAAAAATTACTAAATTAATTAAGGAACCGAAGATTGGGTTTAGTGGCGAGCTTTGGGGAGGCTTATGTCCAGCAGCAGACTGCCGCAGGCTGATGATGCTAAAAAAATTACTAATTTAGTAGGCAGCGGCTTGGCTAAGCCCATGGCATTACTGAAGTTCCTGGGCGACGGTAACCACTCACCATCAGGTGGGCAGTGTGCTTGTCTGGGCAATAAAAGAAAAATGCGTTCATTATTCAAAATCTGAAAACCAAGCATTGATTTTTGCATGAATACAAAAAGTGTGCGCACCTACCTCTTACTGTACTCACATGTCCAGTGAGAGATACTTTTAGTTTCCCACTTGCTAAATCCCATACTTTTATCACTCTGTCAGCGGCACCTGAAATATCAAAACCATCATGCAGATTAATTCCTTAGGATTGGTTTTATTGTAATGGTTGTGCTAAAGTTCATTATAATAACAGAAAAATTAAGTAACTTTAGTAAACTAATCAAGTATGTTTTTTGACATTCTGTAGGACAAGAACCTGTCTAAACAAATACATCATCATCATCATCATTCTTTCCTATTACCCTTTGCTGGGGTGTAGGGCTCGAATCAAATTTTTCCATTTATATCGGTCTTGGGCAGTCTGTTCTAACTCCTCCCACGTCATGCCCAAGTCCCCTCGCTCCTGCTCCACCGAGCGAGGGGACTTGGGCATAATATATTGATTATCTAACTGTCAAAGTTTATATTTTGTGTTGTATTGATAAAAAAGTCTTTTAAATAAGTATATTTAATTTGTAAAAATCAAACTTTATATTAATAAATTTTTTAAGATAATTCTTACCACATATCCTTCTTCTAATTTATACTAAAAGGATTTAATATATTAGTTAAACGTTGGCATTATAGATGCCATTAGTTTGCTCTGTATATGGTTTCTATATTTTTACTTACCAGTAGCAAACCACTCATTTCCAGGTTCTACAGCAACACATCGAACCCAACCCAGATGACCTGATATAACACGCATTAATTTCCAGGGTGGGTGCCATTTTGGTTTGGGCATAGACGGCGGTTTCCGCGGTACAGTTAAAGCCCCCGAGGGGGGAGCTGGTGACGGTGAAGGTGTTGGTCCAGAGTATGGGACAACAGCCCCTTCCGATGGCAAAGGTGCAGTTTCCACTGTTTCTGCTAAAGAAAACATTGTATTTATTCCATTGCAACATCAAGGAATATTGGAAAAGGAATATATTTTTTATTGAATGTAATGAGCATAGAAGTCATGAGGTCCACAATTAAGTTCTGGCTGTTTTTTATTATAATGAAAATGCAACTTTGTTGTAAAAAAATCCATACAAATGAATAATTTTTTTTAGTTTCTGTATATGATCCACGTTTATCGACTATAAAAGCATTTCAGATATGACACGAAAGCAGTTATTAAACGGATCTACTCGAAGCAAAACTACAAACGGATCACCTGAAGTGAAGCAGAAGAAGTTAATTACGAATTGTACAGTGTCCGGTAAGTGTTCTAAGTGTTAAATAGAGTTTTAATTTGTACTTCGGTGGAATTTATTATTTTATTTATTTATCCTGAATCCTAGGGTGTAACATTATACATATAATTGTTTTTACCTGTGGTCAGTGGAGTTTCAGGTCTACAGGTGACAGACTCTTGTTGTTTCAGGGCCTGAGCCTTCCGCACTGCACCCATCACTTGTCCGTAACTATCTCTTGCTTTAACCAATTTCAGTACTTTCTCTCTGTTAATGTAAAATTATAAATAATAATTGTCTACTCTAGTGTTTTATGTAGTTATACATAACGTGAAATGTTCCTCTAATTTATCTGCCTTGACAACACTGTCTGCTCCCATAAAGGTTTTCTCCAGTACAGTAGAAAGTTTTAAAGGTTTAGCAGAAATTTTTTGATCCAGAACAGCAAACCGTTTAGTTTGCCTATAGTATTGTACCGATGTTTGAAATAGCTCATCGATTATTTCCATTAAGACTTGTATTAAACTAACCTCAAATAATATTATTCTGTTTTACTTACGCTTTATCGTCGATTGGCGGTAACATCCCTTGGTTAGCTAGAAACATATCGTGCGATCTTTTCAACGATCGAAACACTAAAGTGTGTACAGAATGTTTAATCACGTCCTCAGACATTATGAAGTTTTGGCAATTAATTATTGTCTAAAACCACTTAAAGAAAACGAAATACTATTAACTTGTAATATTAAATTAGTATATAAATTCAATTTTATTTTTAATTAATGCATATTCCTTAAAGAAAAAGCTTTTTGGTTTCAACGGTGTCGAGACCAAGAAATACCCGACAACAAACAGCAACAACTTTCTTACAAAATAAATCCTAATTCAAACAAACGTCAAATGGACGATAAAAAGCAGCGTCACTGTCAAGTGTCACTGTAAAGCTATCTGTAAAGATAATAAAAAATTTGGGCAAATGAATCCAAATCTCGATTAGCCAGCAACAAACATCATTATTTTGATTTTTGTAAATTAAAATTTAAATTGTTTTAAAACAAACATTTTAAATTCCTCATAATGAGCTGAAATACCAAAGGTATTTAAAGAGAAAATATATTCTTTGTTGTTTATTCTTGTATAACGGATGGGAAGTACGGATTTGGGTCAGAAGTTTATCAATCAATTAATTTGCTTTTAGAAATGAAAAAACACTGTTTACACAACGTTGATTTTATTTATAAGTACAAAATTCGAGCATAATAATGCATTGCGAAGAAAATTGTGGAATTGATTTTCAATAAAATACACAGTGGACTATACCTATAATTACCTCTAAATTCGCAAGTAGGTACTAAGATGACTAGAAATTGTGCTTACAGACTAGAAACTAGACTAGATACAGCTGCTCACTAGTTTTGGAATATTTATTGATTTAATAATAGGTATTTGTTATGTTAAATTACATACAATACACTTCCCCCGAAGTACTATTTACATTGTACAGTGTGTTTCATGCGAGTTTTTTAACGTTCTCGATCGCGTAAAAGTTAACTCAAATTTGTATGGAGCTGGGACAGTTACCTTACGTTTGCCGCTAAGGGCGCGGTTCCAACTCCATACAAATCGCACTAAGCACATTGTACTGTTCACCACACAGACTAGGAATACTTAATAAGTGCATACACAATATTTACATAAACACACAATTACCGTAAAGAGCATTTTAGTATTTATGAACGAATGTTAATCACTGAACTACTAGAGATTTCGACGACGATTTTTCAAAACTAAAAAAGCATTACACTCAGTGAAACAAGAGTCAATAGTACGGTTGTTAAACGAGACGATCAACGTTCGAATTTTCAATCGACTGCCAATCGTAATCGATTTCTGTTGTATCGGCGACGGAGAATACCGCGCCACTCTCGGTTCAGATGGCCGACTTCTCTGGATTATTAGCGTCGCTAACGCGGCGGGAGTGGGGCGCGCGGCGCAGGGTCCTCGGCTGAAGGTTCAGAGGAGGCAAGTTGGGGCGTTCGATCCTGGTTGGCGATGACACGAGCGGTCTCGTTCTGCGCAGCGTCTCGATACCGTTACGGAAGTAGTCCTCAGCTCTATCGCTGTAATTTTCTATCAGGGGCGCCGGGTCTTCGTATTCAACGTTGAAGTGACGGGTGATGGCCAAGTCTTCGGGTGGGCCGAGTTTGTAGAGAGGGGGTTCGACGCACTCGTAGTGGTGGTCCTCCGTATCGTCGTGCGGGTAAGTGTCGGCGACAAAGTGTCTCGTGCCTCTCGGCGTGAGGGCCGCCCACAGCACTCGTGAATCTAGAGCCGGGCCACCGTATAATGCGTTGGAGCCACTGGCTTTCGCTGTACCACTTTTGCAGCCACCACGAGCCCTGAAAACCGAATTAGATTAAGTAATTAGATACCTACTCGTGGCTTCCATAAATGGTACCGTTATATGGCGTAAAAAACAACGTCATTTAGGAACTAGTGTTCCCTTCCATTGCGGCTCACACAGCTTATTTCACCACGAGTATACGAAATTTGCAGGAAAAATTACTATTTACTGCGCAAGGACGAGGACGTAACTCGAAGAGGCTGTAATCGCGTTTAGTTCATGCAGATTGAAGAGCCAGTGATTCATGGGCATTATTCGTCAATGCTATTAACAGTGTTAAGTGACAGCTACTATGTGACAATTTCAGATATTGCTGTGATTCGCGCACTCTAACCTTGCTGATATCTACGACCGACGTTGATAATTCCCAAATAGAAACGTAACTGGAAAAATCATTTCAGTGAAATGGTTTTTCCGGTTTATTTTAAATCTACTTACTCTCTACATTTGAGCAGGAAGAGTGCCAGTAAAGCAGCAATGCACAGTACCGCGATGCAGCACGTGATCAAAACCAGGAACCACGTGTCGTCCCCGCTGGCGGGTTCTGAAATTGTACCTTGAAATTCTTTTTCGTCTCTGTCTCATACGCCGCTGATAGAAGCAGTAATCTTAGTTATTTTTCTACTTAACCAGCTAGCTCGTACCGCAGATAGACTAATAATGTCTGAATTAAACCAACCATGAATTTCCCGGTTTGAAGTGTTGGGCACTAATGGTATTAATACAATGGAGCATTCAATCTTACTTTACTAAATTAGTAATAGCATCTACGTTGTGATTTAAAAATATAAGACTTCTATACTTTCCAAAAAATCGTCTAAAAACAATCTGCCTCGATGCCTCTGCCTCTGCCTATTTGCCTTTTGCAAATAAAAAAACGTGGAAGGCAAAGTACTAATATCAACAGACAGAATAATATTATTAATATTAGGTCAATCTTTGAAATGATGACGTCACAGCCATTCCGAATATGAGACTTATCATTTAAGTATACATATGAATCAGTTATAAAAATTCTGAATTAAATATATAATCACAGTGGTAACAAAATAAAGGTTTTTTAGTATTTGACACATGTGTACGCATTCTTAGAGCGACTTATTTAGCGTACCAAAACATAGAAAGTACACTAAATATTCAACACGTGCCGGTATCAACAGAGCAACACGAATGTTTGAAAGTTATCAAACGTCAGGAGAAGATCAGAATCTGGTGAAAAATGTATTGATTGCCGGCGATGCCTTGAATGCGCCATCCGACTTGAGATATGTCTCAGCTATGTTCTTTTTTGGGCTATGACTTCAATTTTAATATCCGATATAATTTTTTTACACGAAGGGTTTATTGTGTGAGCTAAAATTCGAAGATTGATCAAAACCCCTAACTATATTTATTTGTAACTTCCGGTCTCAACAGATAATTAATTTAATTTCGTCTTACCATGTCTGGGCAGTTCATGGTACTCAACTCCTGGAAACATGGAGTGGTCTTCGTTGTTCGATTGTGGAGGACATTTGGATGCTCTGCACGGTGGGGTGAGGTTGGCAGCACTGGCTAAGAATGCTGGCAATGGAGGAGGTGGCATGTGCAATATGGAATCTGGTGGTGGACCCAGAGACAGGCACTCTGTACCGCACGCCATCTTGAAATAATACACAATTACAATATATTAGTCATTTATTTCGTTACGATTTTTGAAAAAATTATAATAATAAAAATTTAGGTGCTAAAAAAGTCCAAAACCATAAGTTGTCGTTTATATCATGTCAAAATCTGTAATCTTTAAAGATAAAAAGTCCTAATAAAATGTAGCAATAATTTAATCAACTTAAAGATATCGAGGTCGCATATCGAATTGTGAAGTTGTGATATTCTAATATCATGACGGATGTAAAATAAAATGGACGTTTTATTTTATGATTCCTTTGCTTATTCGATATGACCTATCAGTTATAAAGTTATATTGAAAAAAAAAGAAAATAAACTATTATCATTCAAAACCAATAAGGCCAACTTATTCCATTCGAACTACAAAATATCTATTTCAAAATAAAAAACGAATTAAACATAAACTCACTTGTATTTCTAATTTAAACGATTTTTTTTACACAAAATGGATGCACTTTACTCTTAACTCTCATCCACTTGTCCGCGATTTGATACTGGGATGCGAAACGCAAGCGCGAAACTCACACCACCAAAGTAACAAACCACATGGAAATTACCATTACTTTAATAGTTTTTAATACATTAACGTTTTTGAATCGCTTGAGGAATGAGGGTTCACAAGTAAGCCAGCAACGGTTTTTGAACAATAAGGAGAATGTAGATGTTAAATTTTTCTAGTAGAGTCAGCAGTATTGATTCGCGCAAGCGCGCTTGTTCGTGACCCTTAGGCCAAGGGGTATGTTACAAGAGGGCTGATTTTATCTCGATCTGTCGTGTTGTGTTTCGGGTAAGATAGAAAGAGACAGATACTTTTCAATTAAGTTTTTGAAATGCATATTTGAGAAGTTGCATTGTTATTAATTAGATCCAATGAAGTTGCTAAAAGATTTTCTCGTAAATATTTGTGTTTTAATCGTAATTAAATCGTTGTGGCTCAACGTTAATAATAATGCATTTAATAACGAAGAATTCGGTTTTTTGTACATCCTAATTTATTTCCTAAAAGTCAAAAACAATAATACGAAGAATATAACATCAAAGTCTCGTGATATGATGGTCACTTTTACAAATCCAGGGCCTCAAAAATATAAATAATTTAAGATATTTTTAGATTTATCTGTGTACTGTAGAGTATATAACAACAGAAATAGCCTCATTCCGATAGAGGCACCCGTCACGTGCGGACGTGCTCATCGTCCACTCGATCGCCCGGTCTTTGTTCGCCCGGCTTTTGTTAGCCCGGCCATTGTTCGCGCGGCCTGTGTTTGTGGTACATCTGCCGACTAAGTGCTCTTTCTGGAAGTTTTTATTTGTCTTGTTTCCTTTTGTTGTTTCTGTGTTCGTGGTACATCTGCCGACAAANAAAAAAAAAAAAAAAAAAAAAAAAAAAAAAAAAAAAAAAAAAAAAAAAAAAAAAAAAAAACAGAAATAGGCAAGTCGGTTAGCAGATATCAATCAAGTCGAGGGTAGTCAAATACCTCAATTAGCTTTTACAAAGCCTACTTAGCATTCGTTTCAATATGGAACTCCTTTGCGTAATAGGTATAAAGCTGATATGCACGATTATAATATATTTTAGGTTTTGGCATTTTTTCTATACCTTAAATAGATAGACAAGCTCACGTCCCACTTGATTTTCAGGGGCTATTGCAGCCCATAGACATCAGCAACGCAAATTCCGCTACCCACCTTGAGACATGAGTTCTAAGTATCAGTTCTATAATGAGACAGAATTAGGCATTACTTAGGCATGAATTAATAATAATTAGGTGTTCACACGACGCCCTACCACCAGTGATTAACGCAAATTATATTTTACGCCAGTTGTGTCCATTCGGTCGAGTAATGCATGACATTCGAGACTGTGGTAATTGTGTAGCCTATTCTAGTAATCCCGAGGGGTTATTCTAGATTTGCCGAATTAATAGGTGAGCTCACGGGGCTCAAGCCTGATGACGTTGCTAACACGAACCCTAGCAAGAGCAGTGCTTCGCAGAAACTACCACCGGATCGGAAACGCGACCCACTGAGAAGGTCTGGCGAGAAACTCAGTGGGCTGTGTCTGTGGGTTAATTTACTTCATTGCAATAGACGGGTTCGACGAGAAGGATGACCGGTGCTTGAGGTACTTAAAAGCACCGTGTGAAGGTTCTCGTGTTGTGCCGCTTTATTGAAATGCCGACTGATGCTGACTGTAGATATGTACTTACTAATGGACTCGAGGTCCAGATCGTCGTACAGGTCGATGTTCCTGTCGAACCACGGGGCTCCGACGGCTATCCTGCAAAAACGGGATTGAATGGTTTGAAAGAGTTTCAAGTTAGTTGATGCAAAGATGGTTTTGAGAAAAATCGGCGTACGTAGGCTGTTTCCCGTTTAAGGCGAAAAATCTTTTTTATATGACTGACTCGGTGGTGCAATAGCTAGCGCATCTAATTGTTGTGCCGAAGGTCGTGGTTTCTATTCCCACATTGGACAAACTTCGTGTGATGAACAGGCTTGTTTGCCCTTTGTCTGGGTGTTTATTATCTACTAGCGACCCGCCCTCGCTTCGCTTCGGAAACATTAAAACACACACGAAACCAAAAAAATAAAATAATTTTTTTTTAAAAATAGTAGCCTATGTTCACCAGGGACAATGTCGGCTTCTAATGGAAAAAGAATTTTTCAAATCGGTCCAGTAGTTTCGGAGCCTATTCGAAACAAACAAACAAATCTTTCCTCTTTATAATATTAGTATAGATATAGATATTGTTGTTATATTTAAACGTATATAAGTATGTATACATACATACACAGGCAATACTAATTTGGGGAAAAATGAGACCGTGCGTGATTTGTTCCCAATTATTTTATATGAAAGTACGTTGAGTAGTTCCTATTATTTGGTTTTATATTTTTCATAACATGCTTTTTACCTATCTATTCGTTATAAACTAAGAGGCTATTCTAGCTACTCCCGGATGGGGAGCATGTTAAGCGATTATCGGAAGGCTTAGACTTCACAAAGTGGATGCGGCCAATCCCCTTGGGAAACATCTTCAGTCTTCCCTGCCCGCCTTTTACGACTGATAACAACGAACAAAGTTGAAATGCAACTAAAAAAATTCCAGGATACATTTTTATTACACGATATCATAGCATAGTGGAAATACGACATTCACATTAGTGAAAGCCAATTGAATACGTATTTCATTAGAAAAATTTATACCTGTCTGCGGGATTCGAACACCGGCACATTCGCATTGCTCATATGAGCACACCGCGCGTCTTATCTTTTAGTTTAGGCCACGACGATTATTACAATATATGAATAGAGGTGTGATAAAGATGTTTTGTTCAAGACAGTGAGTGCAGTTTCAGTAGAAAATAACAATCTACTCTACAAGATAAAAATATAGTAGTTATTTATTTTAATTCAACCACATTTGACACACGGCCACTTTGATGTTTTTATACACCTACCTAACCGGAACAAAATCAAAATACAATTCTTATTTTAGCTTTTTTTGTTACATAGTCTTCGAATAATTTGGAATAAAAAAATGGCGGCAAACTATAAGTAGACGAAAATTTAATTCATCAAAATAAAAACGCATTTTATATTCAGGTCCACAAAAAAAACAGCCGACAAACAATTCCAACTGTGTACCCCAGAAATATTTAATCAGGGAACTCAAACAACTGGCTGGCGGTCTGCATTCTCATGAAATTGCCGCGAACGAAAACAAACATTACATAAAACGTCGCCATGTTGATGACGTCAAAACATGGCCGGCCCATTGATAAAGTATGGCGCCGGGTAGTTAGTGCGCATGCTTGAAAGACTATACATTCATTGATACTTATGTAGCTGTAGATTGTCACCTTGTTATTTTGAGGAATTATTTTTAATCTACTTTTAGAGGAATGATAAAAAAAATATAAATTAATATATAATGCATGGGTTTCTAATTATCATTGATACATTCAATGTTTTGATGATTAGCAGCACCAGTATTATTTAATAACTCAAAACTTCTTAAAATAGAAATTACACACGTTTTGCAATTACCAAACGTGATTTAAAAAACTTTCCTTAAAAATAGTATATATTTTTGTGAAAAAAAAAAATGCGGCACCCTTAAATTTTTAGAAAGGTTATTGAAAACAGTTTTTAATCAAATCAAAGAGACAGATCTGCAGGAGCTTAGAAAGATTTAAATTTAAAACAAAAAATCTGATAATAGACCACTGTGTGAGCCATTTAAAAACAACCCTCATCAGTCTCTTGGGGCTGACTGGGGCGCCAAATATAGGCTTTGTCAGATGTCGCCTTTGCTTCGAACGGGTCGGACGAGTTCGCGCGCTAACCGCTGATTCGGTACACTCGAAATCGGACGCTAATAAAAACCTACAACTTCTATATTTAAATAACTTTAAACTCCTAATAAAAATAATATTTCATTGTCACTTGAGTGCGAAACAAACCGGTGAGTACTTTTCTTTACTTTTAGCAAGTTATTTGAATTTGTAAAAAATAAAAATAAAGCTGTGTATCTAGTATATACGCAGCCTTGTGTTTATAATTCAAGGAATCATAACTTATATTTTTTGCACTGTTATTTGTCCTAATACACTATAAAGTTTGTTTATTTATTATAGTATATCATTTATTGATCGACTGGCTTCCGATTCGATAATTTATTTGAATTCTTTAGGCTAATGGAAGTTAATAGGCTTTAATTTCGCAAAAATAGATTGTGATTTTCGTGACACACAACGGTGCGTAGCTTCGAAATAAGCTTTTTATTTCTCGATTTCATGCTCTACGAAGCGTAGCAGATCCAGCCGCTACGACTTACTACGGTAGGCGGTTAGAGTAGATTGATTTTAAAATGAACAAAAAATCATTTATGACTGCATTATTTCATGAATACCTACTTTTGTGGGTTGTGCTCGTACGCATTGATAATAGGTGCTGCTTAATATTGTCGCAAATGAAACATAACGACGAGTTAAAGGCTATTTAGTTTAAGCGACATTTCGCTTAATACGCTCAAGAAATAAAAAAATACGCGACTTTTATCTTTATAATTAAGGGTGCGTTTTATTTTGTATTTTTTTTAATTGCTTAAAATGGGTGGACGAGCTCATAGCCCACCTGGTGCTCAGTGATTACTGGAGCCCATAGACATCTACAACGTAAATGCGCCGTATTAGCATCAACAGGTAGATATTTTTAATTGAACTTCAATTTTTTTTGTTATAGTTATAGTAAGAAGTTTTTTGTTATAATATTCTTTCCATATGTTAAACTTTTAATGGCTCTCCTGTGAAGTTGAGAAAAATGTCGCTTAAACTAATTTGACTTTCACGCCTCGATATTATTGTTTTTTTTTATATTGCCCTTGTAGGCAGACGAGCATACGGCCCACCTGATTGTGAGTGTTTAGTCGCCCATGGGCTTCAGCAATGCCAGGGGCAGAGCCAAGCCGCTGCCTACCGCTTAATACTCTGCATATGTTTACGTGTATAGCTGGAATTTCAATGTAACTTTGACTTTATGTTCCGAATTAAAGGCCGCGCTAGCTCTGAGATCGATATGACTCATCCATATCTATTTAGACCACAGAAAACCTATGTTAGTTAAATGACAATACTCAAACTTCCAGAATATATCTATTCTTTTAATATTATAAAGCGGAAGAGTGAGTTTATTTTTATTTTTTATTGCAAAGATGTGTGGACGAGCTCACAGCCCACCTGGTGTTAAGTGGTTACACCTTACTTCCTTAACATTCTATAATTCAAAAATATTTACACTTTCTACGTAAATGAAGTGGGGGGTAAAATTTAGCGTTATGCCAAAGTAGCTATTCCACGCGGGCGGAGTCGCGGGCAAAAGCTTGTAAAATATCTACAAGTCTAACAGTGACATCGTTCTCATCACGACGCCTGATGTGATTATCTCTCTTGCCACGTCGACGTTAGAAAATGTACTTATTTCCGTTAGAACATTAACTCAATTGTTAACATCTACATGTAAAGGTTGTAATACATTACATAGCGGATAGCGAACGAAGCCGAAGCCGTTAGATGTATAAGATTTTTTTTGTTTTTTTGTTTTTATTGCTTAGATGGGTGAACGGGCTCACAGACCACCTAGTGTTAAGTGGTTATTGGAGCCCATAGACATCTACAACTTAAATGCGCCACCCACCTTAAACTTGGAAAATAAATACTATATTATTATAATTTTTTGTAACAACAAACATTACATGTTATCTGTTCAGTGTGGATTAGTTAACCCATTATAATTGGTTATTAGGAAACGATGGTTGTGTGATATAGGTATAAAGAAAAACCTTTATTATTTAAAACTCTTTAGTTTTTAAAAAGGATTTTTCTTCATTGTAATTCAGTATCATGTAGTGAAGTCTGACATTCAGTAAAAAAGAGAATTCAGTTTTATTTAGTTTATTAATACTGCTTACTGTTTAATTTTTAATATTATTTTTAAAAGGGATTAACCGGCTTTAAATATTGTTTTGTTATTACATCACAGAAACACAATTAAATATTTATTGTTTATTCATTCATACTCCATATTATATAGTTAGGTATACATACTAGGTAAATACTATATGAATAAAAACTCGATAACAATTAGTCAATACTATAATTGGCTCACGGCCTCAGGGAATAGAACAAAGCCGTGACATGTGTACGGGGGATTAATGATACTAAACTAATTTTCTGTAGTCAAAGGAACACACGCATTATTATACTCGTAGAACTAGAGGTTTTTTTTATTTATTTTTATTTATTGCTTAGATGGATGAACGAGCTCACGGCCCACCTGATGTTAAGTGGTTACTGGAGCCCATAGACATCTACAACGTAAATGCGCCACCCACCTTGAGATATAAGTTCTAAAGTCTTAGTATAGTCACAACGGCTACCCCACCCTTCGAACCGATACGCATTACTGCTTCACGGTGGAAATAGGCGGGGTGTTGGTACCTACCCGTGCGGACTCCCAAGAGGGCCTACCAGCAGTAATTACGCAAATAATAATTTTGCGGGTTTGGTTTTTATTACACGATGTTATTCCTTCACCGTGGAAGTCAATCGTGAACATTTGTTGAGTACTTCATTAAAAAAATTGGTACCCGCCTGCGGGATTCGAACACCGGTGCATCGCTACACACGAATGCACCGGACGTCTTATCCTTTAGACCACGACGACTTCAAACCTAATGACCGGATGGCCGAGCTTTGCTGGGTTTTTTTTTGTTGTTGATAAATTGTGTTTTTTATAAATTATATAATATTTAAATACGAATTACATATTGATATTATATTATATTATATGTTATTTTCTTTCAATAAAAAAAAGTTATGTTTAAGTCGATAAAGTAGATTATTGAAAACCCGAATAAAACAACGTTTTCTGAAAATAAATCGTAGCTAGATCGATTTATCGCCCCCGAAATCCTCTGTATACTACATTTTATGAAAATCGTCGAGCCGTTTTCGAGATTCAGATTATACATATACAAGATACAAGAATTGCTCGTTTAAAGATATAAGATATAAGGTGAATATAGAAAAGAAATGTTTCCCGAGCGCTATGACATGTAGGCGGCGACTTAGCTCTGTCCCTGGCATTGCTGACGTCCATAAGCGACGGTCGTGGTCTAAAGGATAAGACGTCCGGTGCATTCGTATGTAGCGATGCACCGGTGTTCGAATCCCGCAGGCGGGTACCAATTTTTTTAATGAAGTACTCAACAAATGTTCACGATTGACTTCCACGGTGAAGGAATAGCATCGTGTAATAAAAACCAAACCCGCAAAATTTTTATTTGCATAATTACTAGTGGTAGGACCTCTTGGGAGTCTGTATGGGTAGGTACCACCATCCTGCCTGTTTCTGCCGTGAAGCAGTAATGCGTTTTGGCTTGAAGGATGTGGTAGCCGTTTGTAACTATACTGAGACCTTAAAACTCATATCTCATTTATAAGGCCTTTACGTCGTAGGTGTCTATGGGATCCAGTAACCACTTAACACCAGGTGGGCTGTGAGCTCGTCTACCCTTCTTAGCAATAAAAAAATCACCATAACGTGGGTCGTTTGCTTGTCTACCTACAAGGGCAATAAAAAAGCGCTATATCATCAGGATCGATACGCATATGGGGAGACTTTGGATTTCAATGATAATTCCGCTGTTTATTCGAGGTAAGCTGATGGTGGCCTCTACACATTTTTACGTCGGAATTCTAGAATAAACTCTCTCATATTGTATTTTCGGAGTTTTACGACATGTCTGCCTTCACATAAGATTTAAATATATGATTTTATAGTATAAGTGGAAACGTGATCGGATTTTGTCTTAAAAAAAATCACAGTCCCTTGAAACAATTACTGCTACTAGAGGTCCCGCAGTAGTCGTAATTCGACTATAATTAATTGGAATTGTAAGTTTGTACACTATTATGATTGTATTTTATAACTCTATAATCACAAATTTTGCCAAGACTACACTATAAAAAATATTAACAAAGACAAATCATATTCTATTCTCAATTTGACCACAGACGCCAAGAACAAAACTTTGACAATAAATAGTATGCATGCGTGTGTGCGTCAAATACATGGTATGTAGTGTGTAATGTTTTCTTTATTGATTTAATGTATCTTTTATGTATTATTTAAAAAAAATATTAGCATTGTGCACTTTTTCTCTATATTCTCTATAAGTGTGGAAAATTTCATACTCCTCCGTCCTCGCAATTTTCGTAAAAAGGGATACAAAGTTTTTGCTTCACGTACTTATTTAATTACTGCTATTCTGTTCCTCTGCTAACGCAAGCTTTAAGCAGTTCCTATTATTCACATTGTGCATACAAATTACTCGTATAGTAATTTATTACATCGGCTCTCCGCTGTTCTTCGCTCACTAAACACACAGCCCACAAATGAAAATAAGTGGTTGAGAGCCTTCGAGACAAGCTATCACCATCCATCCTATACTGTCGCTTTGAGTGTCAAATATGAGACTGTAATTGTCACAACTAATTGTTAGGTTTTGTAAGTGAACGAAGCGAGCTACGTGCCGAGTTCTTTGTGTCACATTATTCGATTATTTATGATTCGTGTAACCAAATCGTATGGTGTCTTAATTACAAACATTCGTGTTAAAAAATGTATGGTACGCTTGCAACTTTGCGCACGTAAAAGTTCTTTTGCGGTGTGTAGTAATGTGGTTTTCTTCATTTTCGGTCCTTCAATCAAATTTCTCTTGATATAGGGAGTGCTGTGTATAAGAGAAATAACCTAGCTTCCTTTGTCTCTTCCCTCTCTCCACGGTCGAGTAGTTCGCGAGACGCTCGGTCTATTTTCTCACTCTCGCTCTTCCTAAATTGTATCTCTTCTCTCTAGCCGTAACGAATCTGCCGCGAGTTAAATTTTCCTCTCAACGCGCCC